TGAAATGCTTGCAACCAAATCGCCAAGCTAGGAGCTCAAACCAACAACCCAAAGTAGTAGATGTTTATCCAACCCATAAATTAGGGTCTAATAGGATAATTTACTCTGGCTTATAATATGTGGTTATCTAAGAAAGTGATAATAGGATAGTAATCATCGTTGAGTCAGCTCAACTGTAAGTCAATCACAATTGAACTCTGGGCACAAAAATATTCAGCTGTATTGTTTCTAACCACTAGTCTAACGAGGCAATGTAGTGGTTAAGGCATCAGGCTAGAAACTGGGAGACTATGAGTTCTTGTATGACCTTATGAACAATGCCAGTTAGTTGACCTTGAGCCAGTCACTCTATGGGCGCTAGGAAAGAGATAATGGCAAAACACTTTGGATATCTTGCCAAGAAAACTACAGGAAGCTGGTTGGGGGATTCTGGGAGTTGAAGTCTACCCAAGATTTGCCAAATTTGAGAAACCCTACAAAAGGGTATCAGACTGTGAATGCTGATGTGCTTAGAAGCCAATCATTTCAGTCATATTGACTATCTACTTTTGGTTTCTGCATTGAAATGCTTTCACAAAACAGCAAAAAGAGCTTCAAAGGGTGTATACAATGCCCTCTTTCTTTGTTCCATAAATTTTTTCTAATGCCCATAACTGGCAGGGAATTTGGGGAATTGTAGTCCAGTCTAACAATCCCAAGAAACATGAGGTTGGCCCACAAATGCCTTAATAGCTCAGGAAGAAATAAAGTTCTTCCAATAGAATCAGGAACTTTAAATAGAACTGACTGGAAGATTTGAGTATAGCGCTGGAAAGAGAAAGAGGTTTTATCTTTAAAGCAATGATTCATTCCACCTTCACACCCTTCCCATCAGAAGGGCTCTTGACCCTAAAAAAAAAGGTGAAAATGTTGATATTGTGAAATTGCTACACTGCCAGACTGTAGGAGGGCACAGCTTTAAATTTTAAAAAAATATGCAGATTGCTTATCTTGAGAAAAATTGCCATTATATCTTAGCCACCTCTTGCTGTCTACCATTACATTACATTTCTTGCCTTGCTTCCAGTTCCACTTAATCTATTGTTAGAATACGAAGCTTCAGAGACTGACCTGAGGCAGCCTTCTGTATTTCTTTGCAGAGCCAAAACATAAGATTGGATGCAATAGTCTTCAGCTTGACAATACCTCATGGTATAAAACTGGCCAATTAACCAGCTTTACCTTGGATGCCTATTGTGCAAAGAAGATTCACTGGACTGGTCGGGCCATCCTTTGAATTATGACACAGTTTGCCTATGGTGTCTTACTATTACAGTGCAGCAGTGACTGTGGTCAAGAAGCCACAAGGCTAAGAAGGGTTTTGAGAACATCGTTCTCTGATCTCTTATCTACTAACCTGCCCTCCAACTCTTCTGTAAAAAGATATTTCACCTGCAAGCAGTATTGAAATTAATGATAAAATAATATTTGAGCTTATGTGCCCATCAACAAAACCAACAGGGTTCATAATATATAAGTAACTAATTACAAAAACTAGGTACCAATAGGAGTTTGGAAAAACTGTTTTTTCTAACAAACTGAGTTGTTTATGCTGCTGAAACAGAACAGTTATTACAGAAATTAGGACAAAGCATATACAATCAATGGGATTTATGCATCCAAAATTACAGTTTGGTTTATTTTCAAAAGTTTCTGCTGACACAGTATTTAAAAAAAAAATTAAAAAGTGATAAGGATATACACTTAAGTTACACTAACACGTATGCAACGATCTTGCCATTAAGAGGATGGAGATTAAAGAATCCCATCCAATACCTCTTGCAAATAAAGGCCGCAAGAGAAAGCTTTTGATTGTGTGCAGAAATTTAATTCCCAGAATGAGTGGAGGAATAGATTCTGGGAACTTCATTATTTTTCATGTTGCAAAAAATTTACCGAAAAGGGGAAGCTGGGGGGAGGGAATCAAAGGTTTAACATTTCAAAACAATTTATATGACAGACTATGAATTAAAATATAGCAGCTGTAGATATTAAACTTAGATCTCCATTTTCATCTCATTCCTGAAATATGTCCATAAAAAATCTATATAAAGGAAGTGTTTCACAAAGCTTTGGAGACAGTTTCTTCTTTTTGAAAAATAACAACTGGTCAATACAATTATCTACAATTATTTTTCCAGGGGCTTCCACTTCTGTTGATTTTCCAAACTGTTGGGACAAAAGTTTTTTTTTAAAAAAAACAGATAAATTTTAGATCTTTGGACAGATACAGAGGTTATCAGGAATCCATCACCATATTGCCACACTGAAATATATTTAAGCTTTAAAAAAATATTTCTTTTTGACAGAATATTGAAGGCTTCAATATTAAAGGACATCTATTATCTCTATTTCAGATGTGAAACAAATATTTTACTTTAAATATTCATCCATGCAGTAGCTACTTGACAACATCCCATGTACAAAGGCTATTAAAAACGCAGGTCGTTTTAATGGTTTACTTTGAGCAAAATACCCCCATTATGTACGTAAAGCAATCTGTGCAAATTAATATTTTATCTGTAACAAGGTCCATCCTTTGTTTGCTCTGCAGGCAAAATCAGAGCATTTCTGGTGGTTTAACTTAGTGTTATCTAAAAGTTAACTAATCGCCACTAAGTGCTACCTAAGTACTACCACTTATGTCAGTATATGGTTGCCTGAACACTTAGGACTTCCTTTGGTCCCCATATGAAGCTGCAGCTCCTCTTTCCATCCACTTCATATCAAATGAGTAGTTGACCGACTGAAGGTATGGTTTCTCTTTTCAAAAAGTGATGGCAGATGGATCAAGGAAGGAGAATGGATGCTCTATATTGTTTGGGGGAAGAAAAAACAAATGTTAAAACTGTGTTCTCTTGCAGGAAAAAAAAAAATACCAGTAAAGCACCTTTCAAAATGTGTGAGTGAGAGGGAGGAAGCAGAATCAAAGCTATTTTGGGAAACAGAATGAAAAAACTTTTTTTATTATTCTAAAACGAATCTTCCAAATATCCTTTATGTTATGTATGGAATTTCTTGCAGCCCCTTTTTCATCGCTTAAAAGCAACCCCAAGTGTCTTCAGTAACACGACTGACACAGATGTGTGTACATAGCATATACTTTTAAAGTAGAGCTTCCCATGATCTTTATGTCCTGTGAAGTTCATGTCTGATGTAACCAACCCTCAAAAGAGAGGAAAACAGTAAGACCTCATTTGTTATTTATTTAAGAGCAGTTTCCCCATACCAAGCTTTCTAATCTTTAAAGATAACTTTGTCATTTTTTTATGGTGAGCACACTGGCCCATGTTTAAAATTAAATTCTGTTGCCTGCTCTCAAGAGAAAGTGTTTGATTTTCTTATTTTTTACCAAATCTTATCTTCTTAGGACCAAATGGCACTCTTGTCATTCAAATAACAGGTGCCCTTGTTGGGCTCATAGCTGCTCCTCAAAGAGCAAGGGGCAGGAAACTGAGGGTGACTTCTACACAACCATCTTGTGCAACATTTATGGCAATTCCTGGACCAGGAGCTCCTGTACATGGTCTTTAATGCCTTGGTCATTTCTTGGTTGTATTTGTTAAATTGTGCTTTACATTGGGCTCTTCTTGAAGACCAGCTGGAAGCTACAGATGGTGCAGTATTTATAAAACTACTCTATATGTACATCTAATTTGTACCCAACCCGACTCATTGTTGCTCTGGACAGGGTATAGTGTAAGTTTAAAAAAACATACCCAGCAAAATAAAAACCAAGACAATAACCTGGGAACAATACACTGGAAGAATCAACAGAATTCCCACAAAGGTTCATATTTCTTAACCCAGAACCTGTGGAAAGAGCCAGGTCTTCAAGGCATGACACAGGCCCCTTAAACTTCCATGAAATACTGTGGTTTCAATAATTATGGGCAGTCCATTTTGCACTGGTTATCAGCTGACTTCCAGGTGTGGTTGTCTGGGTGCTGGCTGTCCCCTTTAAATCTTTATATGGCTTAGGATATAAAGATTGGGAAAAGAGGGCTTCCTTTGAGTTCTTCCTAGAGGGAATTATTCTCAGGACCCTTGAAAATAGGCCTTTCTCTGTCCCTGTTCTTCTCCCTACTTAAAGCAACTCCCACACTTTTGGAACAAAGGTGGTCACTAAGACCTACTTGTAGGAAGCCTTTGGGGACTGAAGTGTGCATGCCCTTTCCCTCCTCCAAATCTGTGATGAAAATCTATATTGGAAAGCAATTAAGGATGATAAGTGCGGTTTTATTATTGCTAGTTCCTCGCTGGCGTTGGTTGTGACTGAAGCAGCTCATACGCCTGCATGAATTAACTAAATCTGCCACCAGCTTTAAAGTTCATTTAATGATGTTGACGGTCTGAAACAGGCAAATGTAGGGAGACCCAAAGAGGAGGCAGGCAAAGTTGGCCACGGTGCATCGCATCCTGGGTCCCAAAGGTGCTTTTTCCAAAGGAAAATTCTGAACTGAACTAAAGAACCTTCTTGGACGAGAAGCGAAACGTCTTCAAGAAAAAAATGAACAAAGTCCAGTTGCCTTTAGAAAAAGCACCTTTGGGACAACCATGACCTGGATGACTCAGAATCTCCATAGACATCTCATCCTGGGCTACTTTGTATCTTTGAGACCATGAATATCTCTTTGTTCTGCTACAAAGCAGCAGCAGGAGAATATGTAGGTGGAAAGATTGTCGAAGGATGGATTGTTATTGATATGATGTCTTCGTTTTTGCTTAGGAAAGTTTAAGATGTTTTTTTAAAAAAGAAGGCTTAATCTAACAACATTTTGAAACTATCATAAAGATGAGAAGAAACCCAGAAGTAACCATTATCTCATCTGGTAGATTGTTAAATCAAAAGATGAAGATAGTGCCCAGAGAACCCAAAGAGAGCCAGAATCTATTGGATCTTGGATAGACCATGTGCCATATTTAACACAACAGTTATTTTGTCTCCAAGAAGTGCCCGCAGAGTGATGATGCTCACTTTAAGCAGCTTAAACTTCATCACTGCTGGTGATTGGATAGCACCTGGCCAGGGAGCAACTCTTTAAGTTTTCAGAGCTGGAAGCCAGTCGCCCTTCTAGATCATGGGAAGAACGGACTAGAGGTCGAGATCTAATATTTTGGGAGGTCCCGTCAATAGAGTTGGAACGTTGTATGTTTATGGGATGTTTAATTTGCCCATTTAAGCTGTATGTAGAAGCAGTACGCATCATCTAAAAACAATACAGGAAGGAGGAAGAAAACACGGTTAATCTACTTATTGCATCCAAGCCAAACTTAAGGATTTTACATACTTACTTTTACTAACATGGATTTTAATTCAAATCAAAATACCAAGAATGTCCTTTCAACCAACAGTGCAACACATTCAAGGCAGTCTCAGCAAGATATACTGTTCCCCGATCATGATTTTCTTACCAATATAACTAATCTTTTCAGCTGTTACAGCAATATAAATCTTTCGGAAGGGTGGGCGGTGGGGGCTCATTCTAGCATAAGGCCACTGAAAGCTGGCAGTTGCATTAAGATAAAATATATATTTGACACCTCCTTCTCTGTAAAGATATCCTTAAATAACATCAACACCTGTCGAAACATTCAGATCTACTTTAACCTTAATAACTATACAAATTATAAAGCAGATACTCTGAGTAGATGCTATGAACAAAACAGTGTTAAGTGTCTCTTAAGCATTTGTTTGTTTCTTTGACTTCCTGTCAACCATGCGGAATAGATATCATATCATATAAACAGATATCATATAAACGCTTCTGAATAGAGATAGTTGTTGGCCTGCGACCAAAGTTATGATGGAGCTGCAGAAGGGCTGGTTGTCGGAGTTCCAACCATCCCAGCACCCCCGCGGTCATGTGATTGTGATCTGTGCGTTTGGCAGCTGGTTCACACTTATGACCTATTATACATGATCATGGGACTGCCATTTTCAACTTTCGCTGTGGACTTCCTCAGAAACTCAGCGCCTCCTTAAAAAGTCAGGGAAGGATGCAAGTTGCTGAGATAAGTCTCTCCCCACCAATGCATCTGCACCTGTGCTATGCCAGCTACTCATACACACTCAGAAAACTCACCTCAACACACATCATGCCTCTCGTACACACCATTGGATTTCTTCACACCCTTCCCAATATGTACCTCTAGTACATCCCCATTGCACCTCTCGTACAACCCCTCACAAAGCCCTAACATGTGCTTCTTATGCACCCTCTTGCACCCTACCCAACCCACACACCTCTCTCACACCGGCTTGCACGTCCTCTCTCACCCGTCCCTTTTGTGAACCCCCTCGCTCCCTCTCCCACTTGGCACAGCCACTTGTGTCCGGGCCAAGCAACTTCCTGCCAATTTCCCCACTTATGGGAAGCGTCAGGAAGTTGCCTTGCTCAATAGTTATGAGATTAAGTTAACAACAGCAAGCAGGACCACAGCAAACAATGTGATCATGGTCTACTGCAGGGGTGTCAAAACTCGCAGCGTCACATTGTCGTCACATGATGTATCGCGACTTTTTCCCCCTTCACTAAACCAGGGGTGGGCGTGGCCAGCGTATGATGCATCTGGCCCGCAGGCCACAAGTGTGACGCCCCTGCTCTACAGCCATATTGCCTAGCGATGGTAATTCCATTTGCTGTTGTATGTTAAAAACTACCTGTATTCTAAAATAGGATGCAGAAGATTGTAACAAGTTCCACCTGTCCACAGATGAAATAATGACCAGAAGTAAAATAATTTTTTTCTTCCTTGCACACATCAAAAATCCATTCAAGACTTTGAAGTAAATAGGCAAAGAACGAAGGAGAATCTGTTGCCCTTGAAGCACTGCTGAAGTAACTAAGCTGCTAATATTTAAGAGAATTTCTTTAACATGATTTTGTTATGATCTCACGTGCAAAAAATATAAAGTTTGGTCTGGTTGGGGAAAGGGGAACGGGAAAGTCAGCCATCACAGGCTTCTGCGTTAATTTGTGGCTAAAGCAAGCACAAATTCTTTTTAACTGTATTAATGAAAAATTCTTCTCCCCAAATTCTTGGTTCAAATTGAATATTTTTAGCAAATTGTTTTTGGCATGTAACAGGTTCTTCATACAGTCATCTGTGCATTCACACGTGTAAATTCGTGTCTGCAAAACCAGCGATGAAAGGCAAGACTCACTGCCTCTGTTTATATGGCATGTTGGTAACATTTGGACAATCTTGTCAAATTTCTAAATTCCAACTACACAAACAATGTCATGATATGTTAGAAGGTCAATCCAGTTGTTCAAATGTTTTTTAAAATTTTTCAGATACTCTGAAAACATTTGTTTTGTTTTCTCAAAATCTCTCATTTGACATCTATTAAATCAATCTCAATTTATCCATCCTGCTTTTTTATTTCTGGATATTATTGGAAAATATGCCTTTATTACTGAGGATTTTATTCATTATCTTCTAGCCACCCTGACCAGATACTGTGCTTCCCAAAAAATAAGACTGGGTCTTATATTAATTTTTGCTCCAAAAAGACTCATTAGGTCTTATTTTCAGGGAAACACAATAGTTGGCACAACCTCAGAAAATTAAAATATATGATATCATCAGGTCCGATATTCCAATAAGCATAGTATCCATACATTCCCGATTTCCCCAGGCAAGTCACTTACTGCTAAAGATGAGGTACTGGCAAGGCGCCCCCCTAAACAGCTTTCATTAGTGGTGCTGAAATTCTTGCCATCTACGCTGTTGTGGGCTATCAAAGCTCTTCGAAGGGCTCTCTTTGGGGTCTTGGAAAAAGAGAACGCTCGTGTAACCTGCAAAATGTTGGCATGGAAAAAGGGATAGGTAAAAACAAGGAAGTTGTGCTAGATACTTAAACTGGCTCCAAATATTAATTGTGTGGTGTTTTAAGTACACTATGATTCATAGAACGTTGTAATCTCATTTCAGGTTACACACACTGCAACTTCAAATTTCCTTTTCTTTTCGTTTGCCAGGCAAAGCTGTCATGCAGCTCTATCGTAGGTTTTCAGATGATTTACTGGACTGATTTACTAGTTTTTTAAGATATTGATTTGTTTTACCGATTTATATTTCACATTCCTTGTGCAAATTCGAGGGAGGTGCATAGGACAGAGATTCCTTCAACTTCAATCCTTCAACAGCCCAGCTTGAATTAGTTCAGCTATTAGTTATTACTATTAGTTTATTTTACTACTCTCAAGAGTGACTAAGAAAACTCTTAATAAGCAGTAGGGAAGGAAACACAGGGTGTAAAGTTTTGTGGGTTCCCAAATTGGTGAAATTATATCCAAGCAATGCTTCATGAGACAATGAGAATGTTCTAAGGTTTGCAAGGCTAGCAAAAGATCAGTAGAGGTAGTCTTCCACTTACAAGCTCAACTTAGCCCAAAATTTCTGTTGCTAAGCAAGGTACTCATTAAGTGAATCCCCCCCCCCATTTTACAACTTTTCTTGCCACAATTGTTAAGTGAATCTGGCTTTCCTGTTGACTTTGCTTCTCAGAAGGTTGCAAAAGTTGATTGGATGACCCTGGGACACTGCAACCGTCACAAATACATGCCAGTTGCCTAGTGTTTGATCACATGATCTTGGGGACACCACAGCGGCCATAAGTGTGAAAACAGTCATAAGTCACTTTTTTAGTGATGTTGTAACTTTGAATGGGCACTGAATGAACTGTTGTAAATCGAGGACTACCTGTGTATTCACACAACATTACCTAGAAGTCATTTCCCCACTGAAAGAGGAAACAATAAATATGGGAATAAGAATTGCCTCTCTGCTCAAGCAATAGCAGCAGATTTGTCTCTGCTTATAGAAAGCACTGCAGGTGAAAAGCTCTAAAACATGGGGTTGAACTCATCGGGTTACGTTGCCGTCACATGATGTTTCGCTTTGTTTTTCCCTTTCAGGGAGCTGGGGTGGGCATGGCCTGCGAATGACACATCCAGCCCGTCAGTTTGACACCCCTGCTCTGAAAGAAACTTTCTTTTTTCAGGCTGAGCCATTCAGCTCAAAGCTTTTCCTTCCATGTCAGGTCTCTGCAACTTTTCTGTTCTCTGCCCCACCCTTTCCAATTATTCTACAGGCCATTTGTTCAACTTGCACCAATTTCTGTTCTATTGCATTCGGCATCATTTTCCTATAGGAAATAAAGAGTAGGCATGGCTTAGTAGGCAAGACTCACAATCTCTTCAGAAGCGCGGGATATGTGGATATATGGTTACCAGGGCCACTTTCATTGTTATCATTTTTAAATGGAAAATATTAAAGACCTGTATTTTATCATTGTGGGATCAAAAAACCAGGCCTTGCGAGTCTTGCCGAGAATGATTTTAACTGCTTCTTTTTTAAAAAAAATAAGGTCTCACTGGGATTTTAACAGCTTTATGTTAAGAGTATATGGTTTTTTGCAGGAGAGGGTTCTCTTAAGCAACCAAGACTCTGACATCACACTATGGCAGGAAGGTGATGCAGGGTTTTGCACGAAAGCTAAAATAAGGCAGTCTATATCATTTTACTGGGAAATGAATTGTGCCTTCAATTTAGAATTCAAGGACAAAAGTCCTTTTCAAGCTTAAGCCTCTTACCTTCTTCGAGGTTTTCTTTATGGCCCGTGATGCTCTACTCAATGTACTATCCACATCTTTCGTGTTTACTTCAATAGAATCAGGATCAGTTGCATAAATAAGATTTTCCTGGCAGGAAAAAGCCTCAACTATTAGCTTCAAGGGTAAAAAGAAAAAAGCCATCTTAAATTTCAAATCCACATTCAAAAACCCAGGGCTTCTTAATTCCCTAAAGTTCACAAGCCTACCCTTCCCATGGTAGAGATACAGACACTTTCCACTGTTTATTTGGCAAATGGGGGGGGGCGGGGGGAGATTGCGTTTTAAGCCTCTGCTGCCACCTTGTGGGAATAGCGGACAAGTAATTTGAGAAAACAAAGGTTTGGTTTGGTTTTTTCTAGGAGAAAGGATGCGAGCCACATATAGTCAAGAAATCAAGATTCCTTTATGATGCTAGAAAAGAGATAAGTCATGCGTCACCATAGCAGAAAGGACAAGTGTGACTTGCCGGGTTGAAGTAGAAAATGTGTCTAGGCTCTATTTTTAATTCAGCTTGACATCAGGTTCGTCTTCAACCTAGATACCTACATATTATCAAAATGTCTAAAAGAGTTTATTTTTTTGCTTCATATGTGCTCAGAAAACTTCAGAGAGCTCAATGGATCATAATATATCTGTGACTTTCACTTACCACTGCATCATAAAATATGCCATAAGTAACAGAGTATATACTTTGTGGACAAAAGAAGCAAGCATTCTAAATATTGTTTCCTTCCTTCTTTCCCTATGTACCCACCAATACATCTCACACTTTTATTGTAATTTCTACCTCACCTTTATTATTTTTTATAAATAATTCAAGGCAGAAAACACATCTAATACTCCTTATTTCTCCTATTTTCCCCAAACAACCTTGTGAGTGTCTTGGACTGAGGGTGTGGTCACTCAGCTGGCTTTCATGGCTAAGACAGGACTAAAACTCATAAACCCCCAGTTTCTAGCCTTAATCATTAGGCCTAATTGTCCCTCTATATGTTATATTACAATACTTTAATGCCTGATTCGCTTTATTTCCAGAACAGATATTATTTACTTTGATGTGAAGAACCGGATCAATCAAGTGGGTATCTCAGAAGCACAAGCTCTGCTAATTTTATTCAACATACTTTTTTACCATGCATTTGGACAAAATCAAAAATATGGCAGCTAAAAAAATAATTTCTAAACTACTAAAAATATCAGAATTTTTAAATAAAAAGAATGTAAACAAACAGCTCTCCGCTTTCTCAAGAAGAATCTTGTCAGAGTCAACAATTATGGCGCAAATGCTTCCTGAAAAGGAAACTTTGCTGTGCCAAGAGTTTACCTCACACCACAAAGGCTGGCATATAAAACAGGCCCATAAGTGGGGATGCTTCTGTGCTATTAATTTGCAGCATTCAAGTTTTATATTTCTAACCCAATGTCTGCCAGTATGTTACCTAAAAAGCTTTACCGTACCATTTGGGAATAATGTCTCCATAATAAGCTGGTTCTTGGTTTATGGAGCGTTTTATAATCTGCAGGTGCTAACCTCTGTTCAAAGCATGAACAGGATTTGCCAATGTACTCATTAGAATTCTGCCAATATACTTGGATTATGGCGACAATAAGTCTGTGTATAACATTTAGTTGTCATACACAGATCATCCAGGGGTTCTCAACATGATGACCGGAGACAACAATATGCATGGCAACATACTCTTTGATGCCTACTGGATCCTGCTGCAATTGATTTAAGATTTTCCATTTTTTTAAAAAAATAGACAGTAAGATACTAGAAAGCAAAGCACCAGCTTCAAGCATAATTTGGATTTGGATTAAAGGCAATCTGATTCAGAACAATCTGATTCAGAACAGGAATCTACAGGAGTGTGAATGCGGCACGGCTTTGCGACTCATTAAAGCAGCCATATTTATTTTTGGAACTGTAGGGAAAGTCCCTCTTTGGCAGCAATATAAGTCAAGAAAAAGAGGTGGCTGCTTCAATGAGTCCCAGACAGGTGCCACATTGGTTCTTGCTCTCAAGCACCTTTTCTGAATCAAATCCCAAACATTCCAGAGCCCAAGCTTTAGGATCAAGTCTACAAGGTAGAGTTTGTTTGCCCTACATTGTCCAGCAGAAATAAGCTTCCAGTCGAGAGAGGAAAAGTGGTGGGGGTATTCAGAGAAACCTTAAGTATTCTACCTCCCTCCTGGAATATCATGTTTCAAGAGTGTAAATGTGTTCCTTGCAATCTTCAGAAAAAATTGTTAAGACTGTTTTGTTTCACAGGGTATTTGAGTGGAAAGATCTCCCAAAGTTTGCAATTTTTTTTAGGAATAGTATCTTTTATTATTATTATTTTTTAACTGGATTTTAACTGCCTAGAGTTGCAAGGAGAGGGTAGCAATACTCCTTGTGTATTGAGGCTTAATAAATAAATCCCACCAATGACTCTAGGTTTCATGTGGACCTCCTTAAGAACGTTTAGGAAATGAAGGGGTGGGAAGCTGCTCCCTTATGCTTCATTGGGAACTTTTTCCAGGCAAAAAAGCAAGGAGATGATGTCAGAAAAGTAAGTACTAGGTCTATTTGCTAGAAAAGTACTGGGACACTCTTGCCATCTTCTCTAATTTCCCAAGTTGTTCTGCACTCCATTGTCTCCTCGGAACAGCCATTCGGTGAGCATACCCACAAATGTTCTAGAAACCCCAAAAGGGATTCCCAGCCCTCAAGATTAGAGGTCACCTGTTCTATGAACTCATTCTACAATATGCGCCTCTCATCAAACTCATCTCAAGTGCTTACAGCGTCTGCTTTGCATATGGTGTTCGCTACATGCCGACACAGCATCTTCAGCCAGTCCTCCTTGAGAAGTTCCTCAGTTGTTATTTGAAAAGTGAACAAAAGATTGCTTTGCTCCGTTGGCGGCCGTACAACCAGTGCAAAGGCTTTGTGGCAGTCTGTAGAGAAAAGAAATGTCCTTTTAAAAATAAAATAAAATAAAATCTTAAACAATGAAAGGAAAGAAAACATGGACTAGAAAATATTGCAGAGATCATTAAGCCAAGGTAAGAACTAACACTTACAGTCCTGAACATTAACAAGCAAGCAATATCAATATATAATTGCCTCTTTGTATATTTATATCTGGCTGAATTGCCTTTCCCCGTACAAGCTCTCATTTTCATGGCTTACTGAAAGCTTCCAATTGCTTTCCAGTGCAGCAGAATTGTGCCACCAGAGAATTTAATTTACTGGGCTTCAAAGACCAAAAGAAATGCTATTAAAAGAATCCACTCCTGTGAGAATTTCCCAACTCTGGGGCGTATAGTGGGTAGTTTCTCCAGCCACTGAAAACTAAACGACTAAAAGCTAATTAAGCGGTAATAATGCCACACAATGTTTTATGGAGCTACTCTAAACCTGCAGCGGCTGAGACAAGGTACAGAGTCTCAAGGGACAGAGCGGGATATAAAGCCACGTAAGTAGAATAAAGATGTAAAAGCTAAATATCTACACACTCAGCCACCACAAAGAGTCACCCGTGGAGAATTCAAAATAGCTGCATTTGACATGTCTTCAGAGACAGAGGTCAGACCTTTGAGAACATCCACTCTCTTCCCACAGTCAGATTGCAGTAATATAATGGTATTGCTGGCTGGAGAATTTGGGGAGTTGAAGTCCGGGTGTCTTAAAAATTGCCAAGGTCGAGAAACACTGGATTATTGTGACATACGGCATTTCAGAAAAGCCCGCTTTCCACAATCATGGCTTGAATTTTAAACTGTATTAAAGTTACAGATGTAGAAAAGTAACCAGCAAAACAATGCTGCCAACCATTCACTATTCTTCAGGTGACTTTCTTTTGCTTCGTACTCATATAAAACCTATTATCTTTCTTGCTTTCTAGGAGGCAAGGTATATACTGTACATAGATTTGGCCAGAGAGCTCAATTAGCAGCCTAGGAGCAGGAGTCTTCTATTGCATTGAGCTTCCCATATTTTTTGGTTGATCTACTGTTTCTAAAGCTCTGGTGGCATATACAGTTTTTTCCCCTCCTCACCAACCTTGTGTTGGGCTTATCTTTCTGACAACCACCTCAACCCAACTCCAAATAAACCCAACAAACTCGACTTGGAAAACCTGGCTTTAATTAATGTTCCCAAGCACAGGAATATACTTCGATTCGTTTTCACTCAGGATAGCACATTGCAAAAGAAGGAAAGTAGCAAAAGAAGAGAGAGAAAAATGCATAGAACTGTGCAACTGTCTTTACAGCTCCAGTTATTTTCTAGGTATGCACTGAGGGTGGGCTGGAGGAAACTAGCTCATAGCAACTTTTTCTCCAATTATCGAAAAGTAATCTTCCCAAGATACAGGATGCTGCTGCAGTAAAGTGATAGTATAAACAAGGGAAATTAAGTCCCAGGGCTGCTGTCTCTCCAGCAACTGATTTTAGCAAGGTTTACAGCCATGTAAATGCCATAATCTGGGGTGGGGGGGGAGGGGGGGAATTGCATCTGCCTACTAAAAGATTTCAGGAATGTGGGCTCAACTGCTGCTTAAGATTAAAGTGCCAGTCATATAAACCTTTTGTTCTTAAAGGTTAATACACCCACATGAGATGCTTTATTTTTAGACAAACGTTGAACAAAGCGCATCGAAAAAGAAAATGCAAGAGCTGTGCACTTTAAAAGCTTTGAGAATGGTTTTCTACAAATTCAAGTTCACAAGCTGACATTTGACTGTCTTCTCTCTCTGCTCCTTTTAATGGCTATTTACAGATCCCTGACTGCCAGGTAACCTCTTTGGAAGAGATCTCACTGTTCAGCCATGCCCAAATCCTCCAGCAGTCAAAGCAATCATTCCTTGTGTTGGTTCAAGTCTTCCCCGGTCTGAACACTGTGTGAGGAGGTCTCTAGAGTCACCAGATTGGGGTTGAAAACCTATCTTCTCCACACATACACACACACACCCAGCCCCACAATTCACTGAAAAAAAAAATCCTAACCTTCTGTCTCTCGGATGTCTAGTACCTTCTTGATCTGAGACAGAGGCATGAGGATGACGTGCTTGAGGCAGGCTGGTGGCCTGGTGTGGCCGTGAGGACTCTTGAAGCCACCGATGACTTTGTGCCGTTTCCTTGCAATCTGTCACAAACCAAAGAAAACCTCCGTGAGAAAGCAGCTCCAACATCCACAAACACCTTTTAAAATGGCAAGTCTTGCAGCCAACGGTGGCTTTCCAAAAAAAAAAAAAAAAGCCTAAGCAATCGCAACATATGGATTTATAGTTTCTTCTCAAAATGCCAGGCAGCCCCCTCTTTTTACGAGAGTAATTTGGAGGTTTTATGTTCTCTTGAACACCGCATGCTGCCTTCTTCTTCTCCTTTGCCTTGTACTCACAAAGTGTTCCCAAGCTGCATTTGGCCAGTAGCAGAGCACTGAATCAGGGAATGCTAATTAAATATATCTCTTCCATTTTTAAATCCAGTCTATGCAAGCAGACAAGAGTCTGGAGGGCAAGATAATTATCTGAGAGCAGAGTTAGGCAATCTATTGCCATCCAGGCTTTTGTGACTACAGTTCACCTAATCCATTTCCCACTGAGCATATGCCAATGGATGTGCAAACCATACTGTCTTGCAACAGGATACCCAGTGGCCTAGTTCTCATGGTAATTCTCTGCAAACATGCCCAATAACAAAACCTGCACTTTCACAGAAGATTCTTCTGGCTGCTTGCAATACTATTGTCGGCCATCTTGATAAAGAAATAACTATAATCAAATAATATAGTTTTACAGGCACAGGAACTTCAGCCTAAAAGCATCAACCTGACAATCAACTGATTTGCAGTAAATGTATAGAACCCAAAGTATGTACAGCACTAAAATATATACTTCAGGACAAAATGGTTGCAATCTTTAATTCACTGAACTATTGAATATATATGGAACATACAGGCCCCAAATCACAGAAATGATAGTTTCACCTATTATCCATCTCTAGGACAAGTAGCTTCAAGAAACATTCAAATAGGTTCAAGGACTGGAAAAAGGATAATCAGAGAATGGAAATAAAGAACAGAAACTAGGGAATGATCATCATTTTTTTTTTTTTGCCTGTGGGCACTCTGGCACACATTAAAAATGAAATGCTCTCAAAAATGTACATGCACACAACACACATGTAGTTATGCTATATACATACGTATGTATATACTTACACCCTAACATATTAATACATATAAATATGAATCACTGTTATCTTGAATATATAGCAGAAACAGGAAGCTTGAGAGTTCACAAGGTTGATACTATATGGAACAAAACTGTGGCTGAATCTGGATGTTATGCTTCGGATATCACGAAGATTAAAAGATGGTAGAATTTGTGGAGGAGTTGTTTTCAGAATCTCAAAGTGCAAAACAAGAGTCTTAAATTCCAAAATGAATTTGAGCATCGGGTGAATAAAAAAGTTCTAGATTAAAAGCAGATCAGGCTCAATTTCTTAGGGTAGGGATGAGCTCCCCTTGTCATATCTGATAAGGCAATCATCGAAGGCAAATGCTTTAATATGGATTCACTAAGCAGTGGTAGGACTTGATCTTAATAGTCCCTCAAGTCTAGGTTTCTAGTCTAACTTAAATGTAATTAAATACTTTCCCATAAAATTTATGATTTATTAGATAAGCTGCTTTGCGATGGCTTTTGTACTATAAGGGGATATAAAAAGAGCTTAATATCTTTCTTAGATGCGTATCTTCTAGTTCAGGAGAAAGCACAGAATCATGACTTCAATCTCATCGAATGCTGTCTGAACCTATTAAACTCTATACACCTTGTGCTTTGCTATTATGTTCACAGTGATGACATCCTCATCACCCCATTGCTTCTTAGAAACGGCTGAAAACACTAAGAGCTACAAATGCTTTAGAAGATTACAAAACAGCATTGGCAGAATTAAGATTTCTAATTCTTATTTTGCCTTTTCCCTGAGGTATCTTCCTCCCCTATGAAATTTACTACATGTATCACTTCACCTCATTTTATATTCATCCACCGCAGAGAAGCTATTGACATCCAGGTTGTTACGTGGCCTGCCCCAAGAGAACTGCTGTACTCCTTTTATAATTTGTCTTTAGAAGACTGAAAAAGTCCATATTCCACTCTCAGTTAGTCATATCTCACAGCAGCCATTTTGTCAAGCTGCAACAAAGAACCAGGATATTCTGTCCCAATGCTTAGGATCATGCCTTCTGCCTTCTCTTTTCCCCCCAAACAATTTCTTTCAACTTTACAACTAAATCTACTCTACATCTCTCAAATCTACAAACGGATATTTGAATTTGCTTTTTATCTTATTTCTTCTCCAATGTGTAATTTCTGTTATAAAGAACAAGGCTTGCGCCATATGGATGCTACTCTAACAGCTCTGGATCTAACAGCTTTGAAGACAAATAAACGTGTTTTAACTAAAGAACTCATACTTCTGCATATTTTTGGTAATCTTAATAAAGGTATGTATTGACTGGGTTTTCTATTTCAGCTGTTCATCAATGTTATTGTTTTTGCTTTTATCATTTTACTTGAGCTAGGTTTTATGCTAGCCTCATGGCAGCCTTTAGTGGCATAGAAAAGCAAGACTGATATTTAGAACAAAATAAGAAAAGGTAGGGGCTCCCTGCCCAAATGAGCATTGAGGTTCTCAGGTAACTGAATTTTTCAACTGGTAACTCCAGTATACCCAACCTACACATACAGTATTATGATCCTGGCAATTAAAATTCAATGGGCCATCTGCTGAAGTATTTAACATCACAGAGGAAGGATTGGGTTCAGATTCACTCTTGACTATTTAGGGCAGATTTGCATGGAAGGCTATATATCCTTAATGATGCAACTTGGACAGACCATAATGAACATATGTTTTATGACCTCCCCCGTGCTAGACTCAAGCCTCTGAAACTTGATTAGTTGGTTCAGTATTTTTCCAACAATAATTTCTGTTTATAACTGCTTGTGTGGGCATTTTTGGAGCCCAAGAAGCGGCAAAACGGAATTACCTGACATAGACCTGTTACTGATTCACATTAAACACAAATAAGTCCCATGAGAATTTACAGGCTGCTGAGGCAATGTCCTGAGAGCCTGAAGCAGTGCCAGAACTGTAAATACCACCAAGACACCAATGAATTACACTAGTGTAAATCATGATCCATCAATTCACCAGGAAGAGAGAAAACCAATCTAGCATGTTCTCCGGCTTGTTGGGCATCAAGTAGATGTTAGGGTAGAGAAGGACAACAAAACTTGAAGAGTGTCAAGTCTCTTTTCAGGTTCATACGTGTATATATAAAGTAGTTGAGACCCATTGGGTTGGGAGATTTGTTGGAAAAATCAGGTTAAGGCATCTGTTCAAGAATCAGTGCAATGGATGCTTTCTTCAATATATATTAATAAAAATTGCAGATCATGCAGTGGAAATATCTTCTTATATGTACAGAGCGATGAATACATTCACTTTGATCAAACAAACACTGTGGCATTCAATCCCGCTACCAAGAGCCTATCAGAACAACACAATATTTTTAGAGCCCTCTGAAATTAAGGAAAACCCACTCTCTCAGATGAATCAGGTGTTAAAAATGTCAGTCTATCAAAACTACATGTTCAGATGGAAACCAAGCATCTTCCAGAACAGCTGATGCACAGAAAGTATTTCACAGAATAGAGACAGCTTGGCTGAATACAGTTAAAGCTGATAAGAGTTACACAAACTGACACAATCTACACATCTGGTACAATTTCTAAGAGACGAACCCAGTACATTGTTTAAATGTTAGAGGCAGAATTCAAACTTCCAGTGAATCTGTTTGCATCTGAGGGGTAAAAGAGAGTCGTTTTATGTTTATGAATAAACTGCCACCTAAAGTCTCAAAAAGCAAACGAAGGTGGCTAGATCAGATTAAATTCTGTAATTATTATGATCTCTAGTTCAGGGGTCCCCAGACTTGGCAACTTCAAATCCCAGAATTCTGGGTGTTGAAGTCCATAAGTCTTAAAGTTGCCAAGTTTGGAGACCTCTGCTCTAGCTCAAAAAAGTAAACTTTTTATCGTAGTTCAGCAATTCATGGGTTGAGTACACCCATTGTGGTTTGTTTGGTTTTGTCTTACCATAATGTACAAACCCCCCTCAACTATAGTTCCTTCCATAAATTACATGTAAACAAGCCAGTTTAGCTCAGTGTGATCCATGTAACAGCAGTTTGATTTGGACTTCCCATGTGATATGAACCTAGCTTCCAATTTGTCAATGCTTAGTGTGGGTTTTGAGACCTTGTCGAAGGGGGTTTACGCAAACCTGTTAAATAAATAACTTTGACATGCTATCGAAGAGGCCAGTGAAAACATATTTCATTTGGCCAGGAGGAATTACTGAAAGGCGCCCTTAATGACTCTGATGACAATACCTCACTTTTCCTTCTGATCACAGCTTTCCTTGCTTCTAGCAAGTTGCAGCAGCAGCAAGTTCTCCTGGCTTTCCCAGCAATGCCCAGAATTAAGTTACAAAGCATTAAGACCGCAGAGAAAAAAGTAGTCTCTGTGACCATTTTTTCCAGCAGTCCTTACCGGCTGAGTGACTGTTACACATAGCACAATGCCTTCCACAGAGGACAAAAAAAAAAAAAAAGACATTCAAATTGCCCTTCACAGATTCCAGGTGTTTGGATGTTATTTATTCCTCTGAGTTGCAAGTCATTCCAGGATGTCACAGCCAAATGAGTCACTGCAGACTTACCTCCAGGCAGTCATTAAAAAGGAAAAGGGTGACCTGTTCCCCTCTGTCACAGAGGTCATCCCCAAGTGCAACCGTTTCCAGGCGCTGAATTAGACAGCGGTGAGACGACAAGAGGTTAGCCTATTGGGCACAGGAAAAGCTCATTAAAAAGAGAAGTTGGGAGGTTGCTGCATCACCAAGAAATAATGATAAAAAGTAGAGAGAATCTTCGCTTATCACAGGACACACAAATTGTTATTGCAGCACAGCGCACCACCTAATAAGGGCTCTCTTGCACATGGAATAAAGTCTCATTCTTAGGTTAAGGAATATATTGGATTTCTCAGGATTTGGACCCCAGGGATGGGGCTGGAAAATACTGGTGGGGGCTCCCCTCCTTTACCCCTAAAGTGTGAGAACAGGAAGAGTCAAAGTGGGGAGATTTAATAGAGCTGGTGGGTCCGACATGTCCAAAGATTACAGATAATGGTGGAAAAAGCAGACTTCAATAGGTACCTGCGTCAAACTGGGGAACAATGAGCAGGATAAGATTCCTGCAGGCTCACAGGACAATTTTACTGATTGGCCGATAAAGTTAATGGTGTTTGTTCTGGGCTAAATGTTCTATAACAGAAACTAACATGGTGAGCAAGAGTAGATCTTAAATTATCTAGGATTCTTTTGACTTTACTGAGCCTGTGATTCTTTGCAGTGTAACACAACAGTTCCCCAAACACGACAAACCCTCTAACGTGAACTCAAAAGATTCATTAGGAATGCCAGCAAACCCTGGCAAAAAGTTTCTCTCGCAGGCTAACAAGTCCCTCTGGCCACACCTATTCATCTCCACCCGCTGCCTTTAATCCCCAGAGCTAGGGTGGGGCCTCGTTAACAGTGGTGGCTCTTCCTTCCCCAGGATCAACCCGCGGCTTTCCACTGCTCTCCCCTTCTTTGCCTTCTGAGCATCCCTGCATCAGGCACTGGACCCATCTGTTCGTCTTCTTCTTCATCAGCCACCTCCAGACCTGGGAGCTGTTGACTCTCCATCTGAGGGCTGACGGATGGCCCAGGCTCCGCTCATGTCTCTCTCTCTCTCTGCCAGCTCCATTCCCTCTTCCCCCTCGGAGCCCCCAGGTTGCCCTGATGCTGACCCTGACTCCCATGCCTCCTCCTCTGATTCGGATACTGGAGGGGCCAGCGGCCAACAGGCCACAATAATAAGTTTGGATCCAAACCCTTCTTTGGGCAGGCAGGTGGAATGAGTTATTGGCAATCAGAGAAATGTTAATACTTATTTGAAGAAGGAGTAATGCCACCACCTGCCTTCAAGGAAATTGAAGCAGCTTTCCTGGATCCAGCAGTTTTACGGGAAGGTTCTTGAGAAAGTGGTGGCTGCTCAGATCAAGACAATCCTAGAGGAAACCGGGGTTTCATACCCAGATATGGGTTTGGGTTGGCATTGGCCACTCTGTTGACAAACTTCATTGAAAAGGAAGCACAACCCTTTGCTCCGAAACCATTGACTACCATATCTTTGCTCAACTGTGAAACTATTCTGCATTGATTCTGCCCGCCTGAGTAGGCAATTTTGGCTTGTCACTATGGAGCAACAGATGTCAAGGCCGTGGTTACCCAAGGGCTTGGTGCTCTCCCCTATGCTAATCAACATTGAAATAAAGCCACTGGGGTGCATCAATAGAAGATGAATTGACTTCAGAATACTGATGAAACTCAGCTGTATATTATTAGCCGGGCCATGCTGACGATTTATCCATTGTATCCTGCTGTAATCAATCTGATTTTTAAAGGTGCCATAGAAAGCTTGAATCAGCGTCTGGTAGCTGTTTTATTGTCTGAATGGAAAAATAAGGTTAGATAGAATCCCTCCAAGACATAGCTACTGTTCCTCGGTCAACATCTAAAAATATTGCTCTCGGTTGGGCTCTATTTGCAGAACTCCAGAGTACGACTTGGGTCTCCTCTTGACTTAGGCACGCTACCTAAACAACAGGTAAAAGCCATGGGGAGCCTTTCCCCCAACTTTGGAAGTTGCCTACTTATAAGCTTACTTGGACTTAAACATTCTGGTGTTAGTTATTCACATCTCGATCACCAGTCAACTAAATTATTATACTCTACTTGGGGAAGGCTTTGGAGATGGACCAAAATCTACGTCTTCAGTAAGATTGACAGTAAGATTGCTGGTGACTCAGCCCTTTTCCTGCAGGGTGAAAATGGTCCCAAAATTGCTGCATTGGCTACTGATAGACCTTTGACTCAATTCAAAAGGCTAGCAATGGCCAACAAAAGTTCAAACAGCAAAAGACTTCAATTTTACCAAGTACCCTCTTGACATCCAGTGAAGACCTCTCAAAGAGGCCTCCATTTGGAGGAAATGGAGGAAAGTTTGGAGACCTAGGCTATTTTCCATAGCATAAACCACTCTACTCCTAGGTTTTCAAAGGCTCCCAACTCTCCATGACATTTAGATTATTGAGAACTATAGATAGTCCTCTAGTTACAATAGCAAGTGGAGTCAAGATTGCCATCACCAAGCAATGCAGCCACGAAGCACAATATCAGATGACCGCATTGCTCAGCAATGGCAATCCAGGCTGTCCCAGTTGTTTTCATAACCCAAGTAGTACAAGTCATTAAGCAGGAAGTGGCAGGAGTGTCTCTGAACCATGCTGAACCTCCTCCCATCAATGCCATTTGCAGATAAGGTCAGTTGTTTTGGGAAGTGCATCCTCCCAAGCAGTAGCATTTGAGGAGTCCTGGCCACAGTTCTTCAAGCAAAATGAGTCTGCTTTGGGGCCAGACAAGAGGAATGTTTGCTAGCATTTCCACATAGAGTTTTGCATATGCACAGCACTGTGCAGTTGCAACGGGGAATATCATTATTTTGAGGAGTTTAATTACATAATTTTGATTTCCTTTTCATATTAAGAAAGGTTTAGAGGTTTGGAGCTCATACCTAAGCTAACCTGCTTCTTTTTTTCCCACTCTTGCTTGCCGAATAAAATAGAAGGGGAGTTGGAATTTTCACATAGCAGCAAAACCTGTAAAAACCTCAAACTTTCAATTCCCACCCCAGAGCCCAAGTGCCACCCAATCAAAGGTCAAGTCTTGCAGACTCCTGACTGTAGCAGGGCCATGACGTCATGGTGCTAGGTTTTGAAAAAACACCTTGAGGTTATGGTTGTTTGATGGGAGTTTCTATACAGAACCTAGCATTGGGTACTGTGGAACCTGGCTGCCCTAAGGGTACCTCTGCTGTCATTATTAAGATGCTCCTGGTACAGTGGTGGGATTCAAGAAAATTTACCACCAGTTCGGTGGGTGTGGCTTGGTGGGCGCGCTTTGCATGCGTGCATACCAAACTCACACTTTGCACAGGCGCAGAGGCGTTCCAACTCACCTCCTGCAAGCCTGCACTCTCCTGGTCACTTCAGCAGCTGCCATGCAAAGCAACTGCACTTCAAAAGCAGAGGATAAAGGTGAGTATGGGAGCCCAAGCAGGCAGGTGGGCCCAATAGCAGAGCGGCAGAGAGAACCAGTTTGGTCTCCACTGCTCATCGCTGCTACTGGCTCGGCAGAACTAGGCCGAACTGGTAGAATACCACGACTGTCCTGGTAATTTGTAACCAATTTGGGTATTGTCTTGTTTGGATTGTTATGTTTTTAAAATCTGTTTCCTTAAAGCTTAGCATCCCTTAATTTACTGGTGTGCTCCTTGTCTCTGGATCCAAAAGAACCAATGGCCTGGGCATCTGCTCCCTCCCAACACTTGGCAAAACACACCGAGAATAGGAAGGCACGTCCCACAACCAACGCAATCCTAAATTGTATTAACAGAGGGATACAATCAAGATCAAGGGAAGTACTAATACCACTCTATAAAGCCTTAGTAAGACCACACCTAGAGCAATGCATCCAGTTTTGTTCACCACACTATAAAAAAGATGTTGAGAGTCTAGGGAAAAAAAATACAGAGAAGAGCAACCGGGATGATTAGGGGGCTGGAGGCTAAAACATGTGAAGAACGGTTACAGGAATGGGGCATGGCTAGTCTAGTGAAGAGAAGGACCAGGGGAGACATGATAGCAGGGTTCCAATACTTGAGGGGTGCCACAGAGAGGAAGGGGTCAAGCTATTTTCCAGAGCACTTGAAGGCCAGACAAGGAATAATGGATGGAAACCGAACAAGGAGAGATTTAACAAGGAGAAACTTTCTGACAGAACAATCAACCAATGGAACAGCTTGCCCTCGGAAGTTGTGGGAGTGCCATCACCTTGAGACTTTCAAGAAGAGATTGGACTGCCATTTGTCAGAAATGGTGTAGGGTCTGCTGCTTGGGTGGGGGGTTGGACTAGATGACCTACAAGGTCCCTTCCAACTCTGATTATCTGTTAAATCTGTTAAACCACCACGGCAACCATTGTGGGTGTCCCCCACTTGTTCTCAAAATGCCAAATTTGGAATCATGCACTTCTTTCCATTTTGCTCAAAATCACCATTGTATTTTTAAAAATATAATGGAGCGCTAAACCATTACTTACTGGGCAACCATCTACTTCATAAACAACATCAAAAATCTGTCTTTGACCTTCAGTCTTCCTTTTGTCTTCATTAATATGTCTAGAAGGGGAAAAAAAGTTTGGGAAAACGCCGGTGAAAAATGTGGGACAAATATAAATGCAGAAAACAACAGGCCCCAAACTTGAGAAACTCTTTAAGCTGGTGGAAAAAGATTAAGTCCCCTGGCTGCTCTCCTTTTTCTATTTTAAAATATGAGTTTCAATGAACCTTCCATGGAACAGATCATTCAGCATTGATCGGGCTGATTTCATTCACTGTTTATTTTTCAGCTTTCACTCCTTCAACTTATACAGAAAACATATCCTGGCATCTTAAGAAATGATATTCTCCCCAAGACTAACTGGAAGCTTTTATGAAATAAGGTATCCCTCATTACACTAAAGGATAGAGATTAGAAACTGTGAGTTTCCAGGAAAACTTAAGGTCCTTATCTTCAGCCTGACTCTAAGGTTTACTTGGACAGAACTAGTTAGAAGCTATTCACAAATATCAAAATGATAACCACCTACAGCTTCTAAAATATGAGGTAGGAGTTATCAGTGCCCAGATCTTTCTGATGCATTCCATATAGCATGTTAGGCAATGAACTCAATGCATATTACTTCCAAGGTAATTTATAAGGGTAGGCACGAAATAAAAACTACGCAATTTTAGATTTGAAGCCATCAAGGGTTGGAAGTCCTATAAAACCATTTCGGGTTGGCTATAGTTAAGCAAAAACAAAATCCAGAACACATTAGTTCTTGTCGTTCACTCAACACAAAATTTTATCGTCAACTTCGAAACAGATCAGGCCTGTCCCGCCCATTTTCTCTGTTTCTGAGCTTGACACATTTTGGGGAGAGAACGGAGCTCTGGAATGCCAGACCAGACATCAACAACCTACTATCCTGTGGGAACCAAGGTCATCCCAACAGGTGCTGGCCGAAGACTGGAAGAGCTTACCAAAGAGATGCCAGAACGCCTAATTGGACAATGTGACCAGTGACGAGGAGGGAGGGAGCTCCCTATTCTTTAATTATGCTGGAAGCGTGGGAAATAGCCAGAGCTGATTTTGCATTTCAATCGTGCCGAAATGATGTACTCAATAAAGCAGTTATTTTGAGAAAGTCTGAAGTCTCGGAGTTGCTGAATTGGTTGGGTTCATTACTCGGAACCTTGACACTGATAGGAGTTTAGGGTGATTTTTCAAGGTGAATAGAAAAGCCCAGGTCTCTCAAATCCCCAATTGGCCTCTGTGCCGGTCCGCCCACTTTCAATCTTCTAGGAGACAAGTCCCCAACCCCCAGGTTGTGACCCAATACTGGGCCATGGCCCATTTGGAGCCAGGAGGCAGAAGCTGAGGGCGAGCGCATGCGCACATGTAGTTCCACTTATGCGAACATCTCCATCTGTGCAAGCAGGGGGTGCGTGAGCCTGCCTCTTGCACAAATGGAGCTGTGCATGCAAGGCAGCTGCTGGCGCGGAACCATTCCTTCTCCCCCCCACATGCCGGTCTGCAAAGCCGGAAAGGTTGGGGAACACTGTTCTAAGAGCGCTCCCTCCCACCCTCTCTCTTCTCCACTAGTGGCCAGCGTGTCCATTCCTTCCTGCAGTGATCCAGGCTCAGTATATCCACCAGCTTGCCCATCTTCTCTCTCCTCTTTCCCATGGCTGACAATGTTTGCATATACCATCACCAAAGAAACTCCCAGTCTTAGGGGTTTTTTTCCCCCTTCCCTGCGCCCCCCCCCCCAACTTTCCGGCTTGACATTTCATTTCTGCCTTCTGTTCTCCAGTTCATATTCAATACAAAATAACGCCCAATATTTTGAACCAACCCCTCAAAGTCCTATGTTCCGCACACAGAATGGAATGTTTTGAGCATCCCTAATCATGGGTTATATTAATTTTGAGACTAGCATCAACTAGAGTCATCGGACTTACGTCATCACTTCCTTTAACGACTCAATGGCGCTCTCTAGGGTGGCCTTGTCAGGATTGTCTTCTGCGGTGTGTTTCTTGAGGTCTGCAAGATTGAAACAGAGCAACTGTGCATAACAGCATGCCACAGGATGCCCTAAAAATGGACATTTCTGAGAGTCTGTCGCTTCAGAAATCCCTGTACTTGAATTCAAAAGTTTAGCCATTGAAATTAAGAGTGCTGATGAGGCAGAAATCTTACAACCTTAGCTGTTCAGCTATTGACTTTTAAGGCATACACTTATTTTCCTAAGTGGCAGAAAACGGAAATATTTACCAAATGCAATTTGATCTCACTCCCAACGGGGAGAGAGGGGGACACTTTGAGCATTGGGAAGACCACAACACAACACAACAATTAGGGTGAGTGCACAATTGCAGGTAAAAAGTCCAGGACATTTAAGGGGAAGAGAAGACAAAGAAGGACATTCATTACATGATTTTCCACTGAGCAATAGGCCTGCATTTTCTAGAATAAAACAATCCTGTTTTTTAAATGTACTTCTGAAAGTTTAAATGAACTGATTTTTACCATCATTTCTCTCTCCCAGTTAAATATTCTACCATGTGCTTTTAAAGTCAGCTTTAATGAGCAATTACGGGTCTTTGCATTAAGCACATTCTTTTTATAACTAAGCTGGCCTGTACTACTTTAAAGTACTGTATATAATCTGATGCAAGTTAGGCCTAAACGGTTGTACCTGACTTAAGCTTGCAATGGATTGAAGTAGCTTCTTTGTTCCTTTCTCTTTACGTGACTTTTAATGTTTTACCAATGTATAAAATACAAAGAAAAGTAAAAGCAAGAAATTAAGGGAAAGAAAATGAGATGTACCAGGGAAGAAAGAAAAAGATGTCTGGCTCTTCGTAGCAAAGTACAAGCTAACAACAATTCAACCTCAACTTTTTACTTTTACACATTAATATATAAATATCCATTTCCATAACAACGAATCGGCAGATCTAATCAGCAAAACCAAAGGCAACGTTTTGTTTTTTTTTACCATCAGCACAAAATCCAGAAATGATATCCAAATAAAAAACATAAATATATATCCCCCTCTTTGACCATTACTGCTTTATCTTCCTTGCTGTTGAAATATGTTTCTTGATGACAACTTCAGGGGCTGCATACTAAAAGAGTACCTCAAGTAGCTATCAAGTCACATGATGTTATCCATCTTAATTATAGTTCATAGACCTTGCAATTAAATTAATATTGAAAATAAACATCGATTAAAACGGATTGTTTACAAATGCAATAAACATCATATGCCTGACATCTATAAGATATTTTCTAGTTCATTTCTTAAGGGAGTTCACAGACCCAATTGGACTTACCCACACAAAAATTACACCCCAAGCATTCATTCATCCATCCATCCATCCATTCAATTTATATAGCCACCCACTCACTCTCAATGACTCTGGATGGCTTACAAACAATAATCCCTGTTGACAACAATACACGAGTCACTTGATGGGCTCCATCCCACTCTGGGTTCCTCAGGCCCATTGGCAAAATCAGGTCTTCAGGGCCTTACAAAGTACAGGGGTGATGTTCTAAAGGAGGGGTGTCAAACTCAAGGCCTGGGGGCCAGATCCAGTGCACGATCTGGCCCGGCGGGGGGGCTGTCCTGGAAACAGCAAAGGACTGGCCCGCAGTGCCTCTGCCAGCAAAAACAGAACTCAGGAGGGCTGGGGGCGGCCCTCCCAAGCTCCACTTTTGCTGGCGGAGGTTTGCAGGAGAACGTTGTGGCCAAAAACGGAACTCGGGAGCCTATTTTCGTGGCAGAGTGCTCAGGCCACCACAGGCATCCCCAACACGAGTGACATCGAGCTGGTCATGCCCACCTTGGCCGTGCCACCCTGGTTCCCTGAGGTCAAATACAACCCTGATGCAGTCCTCTATGAAATAGCGTTTGACACATGTTCTAAAGGGAAGGAGCCACCACGGAGAAGGGCCTTTTTCTGGGTCGTGCCAGATGTACCTTCTTAGGAAATGGGACCCACAACATTCCGCTTTTCCCGCTCTAATGGGTTCAGTGGATGTAACTGGGAAGAGACGATTCTTCAGATAACCAGATTTAATTTGATTCTACAAATGCGAGTTACTTCAACCCCTGGACAAAACCAGCTTCTGAACATACCATTTAGAAGAAGGGCAACACTGGGCAGTCTCTGTACTGGCCGAATAAGGAGTTCTGCCAAACTCTGGCGACCACATTCTGGCTTAGCTTGATTTATCTATTGCAAGAGAAGTTGCAACATTATTTCTAGAAAGTAATCAATTTTTCTTTTTTAAAAACAAAACAAAACTCTGCAATGTTAGTGGCTCCCACGCTTATACGCCACTGAGTTTTTTAAAAAAATGTAAGTTTGACATATTACATAGGTTGTTAATTGCTTATCTGGGAACCTTGCTGGAAGATATTTACTAAATTATTATGTAAAAATGATTAAATCAGTAGTTTGAAAGCCACATGTTTCTTCACTGCTAATTTTATTTCTCACTCCCCATTAATTATTTGAGTAGTACGGGCCCTCTTTTATTACACTGTATTCAAAAGAATAAAACAGAATGCCTAAATAGCTCTCATCTCTCCGATGTTGGCAAGAACAAACAAAGCAAGCAGAAAACTTAAAAAAAAAAAAACTGAGCCAGAGGTCCAGACCAATAGTAGACAATTTTGAGTCTACACCAGTTCCATGAAAAGATGGGGAAAAATAATGGTTATAATTACCATGTTTCCCCAAAAATATGACCTACCCTGAAAATAAGTCCTGGCTTGATTTTTACATGTGTGCCCAATATAAGCTCTACCCACCCCAAAGTAAACTCTAATTAAGATCCCACCCACTCCAGGGTGAGGGGGATGGGGCATGGCACATGGGTAAAACTTAAGCTAGGGTAGAGATGAGGTGGGTGGAGCTTCCTTACTTACTAGGCCTCACATACCCTGAAACCTGCCTTGCTAGACCATTTCTTCTGCAGCCGCTTGCGCATGTTGCCCCCAGCCTCTGTTTCACTATCAGAGGCCTTTAGGAAAGGGCCTCATTTTGCCATCAGAGACCTTTCCGGAAGGCCTCTGATGGCAAAATGAGGCCAGGGTCAATCCTGAGTCTGTTTCTCAGCCGCAAAACATAGGCTGGGGGCAACACGCACAAGCGGTGGCAAGCGGCCGCAGAAGAAGTGGGTGAACAGCAGGCTCCTGCTGATGGGCAGGGTTGTTGGTGCCACCGCCACAAAGTGAGTCAGCGGAAGACACCCCCACCCTCCCCACCCCCCCAAAAAAATCTGGTACCTTTTTTGGTGGAGAAAAAAAATCTAAGACCGGGTCTTATTTTTGTGGAAACACAGTAGCATGGGGCCAAACATTACTGTACAACATTGTTGTTCTGGATATAACAGGTTGAGCAATTGAGGCTACTGTCCAGCTTAATAGCTTCAGAGTTCATCTGTTTTTAACCTCCTGCACTGGTTTTTGATGCACACATAGGAAAAGATTAGCTTTGCAGGACTTCTTCTTCTGGGCCTATTGAGTCATGTGAAAATCACAGGAAAAAGTAAAAGTAAAATGAAGACTTGGAGTGAAGTTAATTGTCTCTCAATGACCAAGATCACCTGAAGATAACTTGTGTTCACAAGTAGCTATTACTTTAATATCAATGAGACTGTTAGCTTCTGACAAGAGAAAAAATATTGTCTGCCTCCTTGTTCTTTCTATAAGTGCAAACAAGAAACTTGCCAATCTAGCTTACCCCCCTTTAAAAGCACATTAGGATCAGGTGCTATATATATTTTACACAAAGGACAAGTATATGATGCTATTCCATCAACCGATTCTTGATTTCAAAGCTGCACCTTTTTTCCCTATTACAGTCACCGGGACATTGTTCTAGCATATTTGTGCTTCCACAGTGCTCAAGCCCTAATTGCTTATTTCAGTGTCAAAACTGCACCTTTCACGAGATGGATCACTGCATTAGAACCAGAAAATGAATACTTGCCTTCAAGAAAGCATGAAACCTGGGCTTCTGCTTTTCACACTTGGTAATGGTTTCCTTGCTCATTTCAAAGAAGTTCACAAAAGGAGGATATGTTTTCACCAAGTCTTTAGACTGAAAGAATCCCAATTTTTTATTTACAACATGCACGTGGTTGAAAAATTAAAATAACATCAGTGTTCAGAACAAGCAGTTTGAAGTTACTCTGTTTGCTGAAGGAGTCTATGCCGTTGGTAAAGCTGACCTCTGCTGGTGTTAGTACATTAAATCTGCTATTGTAACAAACACCTACACATACAGTGCATTTGCAAAGCAAATACTAATAAAAACACAGGGCTGAATTTGCACATTGCCCCGCCAATAATATGTCTACACTATTCTGTATTCTACCCTTATGTAACATCCCAGATCCTTGCAGGTTACTAAACTTTCATTCTCTTTTATCTCAAAAGAAATACCAGCAACTGCAGAATTGTTATTATTTCACTTTCAATCAAGACCTTGCCCAAGAATCATTAACATACAGTTGTAATCATGCTTCTGCAGTGAGTGATTTAACTTTACTGAACACAAGTTCATGATTCAGTAAACTTAAAAGGATAAATAGGATGAGTCCGTGACAATCCGCCTCAGCTATCTCACCGCAAGACAACTCGCTACAAGACAAGGATTACACTAAAATCAAAGAAATGGTGGGATAGAATCCTTAAAGGACACAAAAGCAGGAACAGAATGAAATGTGAATGGCAAAAATTAAAATAATTCTTATTTATTTTAAATAAACAGAATTGTTAAAATTGTCCCGCAGAGTTGTTCCACAACGAGTTGGCCATGATGAATTGGCTGTGGCGAGTTGGCCATGGTGAGTTGGCCTCAGCAAGTTGGCTGTGGCAAGTTGTCCTATCCCCATATAGGACTGTCCCCTGTTCAAACGCTGCCTAATACTACTAATACAAAGAGAAGAGCTACATTGCGTTCTCCCAATTCAAGACAAAAGGCTCCTCCACATGACCAAGGGGTAGAAGTGAAGGGTCCACTTTAGATATAAAATAACAGCATTCATTCATAGCTTGAGTAGAAACCAAAACTTACATATTTAAGTATAACCTCTCCAATGCTTTGGTTTTCAGTCCAGTTTATCATAAGGTCTTCAAGGTCTTCCTAAAATAACAAAAGATGGCACTCTATTCATTTACGATTATTCATAGTTCTAAAAAAGCAAGCTACAAGATTGTTTGACCTTCTAGATGAAATCTTGTTCAGTGTGATGCTTGGAAGCAGGAGAGGAGGGAAAGTGGAGAATAAGAAAAACTTTATTTTTCATATTTAATCATGTGGATGTCAGGGAGCTCCGTCAGTAAAGATGCCACAAAACAATAGCATTACCACAACTGCACAATGCTCCAAAACAAAATTTAAGATTTAGAATTATCAGCTATTGGTGCCAAAATAAAGTGTCAAAATATTAGAAAAGTATACAAGACTTCAGGGTGGAATGCTGGAGTGTTTCAGGTGTTGAGGTAGGGCTGGAGAATCTGAGGTTCAAATAGACCATAGAAGCCATGGGTGATTCTGGGTCAGTCATAATCCCTCAACCTAACCCACTTTATAGAACGGTGCAGGGAGAAAGGCAGGAGATGAATTTAACAAAGTATGATGACACCAGGCCCATTTCCAATTCTGCCCCTTTTTATTTTACTAATGAGATCATGAAGGAATATTAAGGTTTTTCCAGCGCAGCACAAACAAGGTGGTTTGAGCAAAATAATATTCACAATATAAATTTTATATATTTTAAAATGGTACCACCTTTATCTTAATATGTACATCAAGGATATCTGGAATACTGCCGAAGATTGTTTTGATTTCTTCTGGTGCAAGTATAGGGCCTCCAAGCTGTCCTTCCTTTTCCAAAGGGACTTGAAAGACCTGAAGGGAAAAAAAAAAAATAGGTCAGCAATTTTATAAAAGCCATTCGGCCAGTAAAGGTTCGGCTTTGGATGGAGCTGATAGTTCAGATTCTATCCCAAATTAAGAGATTACAGGATCCAAGGGGGGCGGGGGGGGGAGAATTAGCATTACCAAATTATATGTGGACTATGGTAGAATGACTATATTTACATACATGCACATACATACATATGTTTTGTGTATGCTGGTGGGTTAGACAAAACTTGACAAATTATCTCTCCCATCCCTTTTGTTCCTGTCAATCTCTCTGTCTCTCCTTCACTCAGAAGATACTGTCCTCTCAGTCATATGCTGGGCTTGTCCTTTAAAGCAGAGGTATAGTTTCATCCCCTTTTATAAATAAACCTCCAGAAAAAGCTGAGACATTCAATCCCCAATATGGGATTTCAGAATTTTGTATACGAAACGGACAAGCCCAACACAGGGGCACCTCAGGCTACAACATTTGTAATGCTGGACCAGGGTTTCTCAACCTCAACATCTCTAAGAAAGGTGGACTTCAACTCCCAGAATTCCCTAGCCAGTTTTGCTTTGAAGCCCAACCATCTCTTGCCAGACAGACCCCACACATCAGCTTCAATTCAAACAGAATGGGCGGGATGGATGCTAAAGACTGCTAAGATAAGCAAGATACTCAGGAAGCATTACCAAATTAAAAATATAAAATAAGTGACAGAAGCCAAAGATACTATTTTGATAGTGAAGCAGCTCTACTTTAGCAGCTGCCTCAATTAACATGTAGGGAAGGATGACAGTGAAGATTCTCCCTTCTTCCTCCAAAGCTATCATGCCCACACATCCCACTCATTCCAGAACAGCACAGGTAGTGGACCTAGGATCAGAAAGGGGAATAAGGAAATTATCTTTCCCTTCTTCCATAATATCTAAGAGGAGATATCTTAAAAGGTTTAATCATGGCAGCTTAAAACTGAGACATTTCGATACTCACCCTAGTAACTTCTTCAGTCAAAATGAAAATTTGGGTAATTGAAAAGAACCAACTCTTGCCATACAGACTGCAAGGGGTTTCTTCCCAAAATGAAATAAAATTTTAATAAACTTTGGTCCACTTGCCATGATTTAAGCTTTTAAGATAATTTGGGAATCTTTTGGATTGAATCTTCACTTACATGACGTAAGAGCAATATGCACAGGGAATCCTCCCTAACTGGTTGCAGCAGTATCACTTTTAACACAAGTCACTTAACGTCTCAATTTCAGAAATAAATAAAGTAAATGAAGCAACTTACCTGGATTATAGTTGTCAGGATATCTACATAATTGCTTTCTGTCTGATAGAGCTCCTTTGCAACCTGCCACCTGGCGGATTGCTTTGAAGGAAAGGGAGATGTGTTTTTGGATGGCTTTGTGCAGGATTTGGGAGTTTCTGCAAAGGACGGAGAAATAATTATATGACAATTTTTTAAAAAATGGCAGGAAATTTACTATGGAAGCTAGGAAACTCTCTTAAAATAGGAAGGCCAATTTAACATGAACTGGGGCTGACTGAGTACAATACAAAATTTTAATGACTACCCAAAACAAAGCAGCAAAATTAACTGCAGAGGTCACCTTCAGTATCATCAGGTGATTCTGTAGTTATGTCCACTACTTTCTCTCTGTGAACATAGCGGCTGACTATCAGCACCATCAGGGAAAACAAACTAGAATACTCTGAACTTGTACAATTTGCTGTGAGAAGATCAATTGCTAGGAATATGAATTCCAAATAGCATCTAAGTTATGCGACCCAAGCATGTAGTTGAAACTGACATTTGAATATGATTCAGATTATTAGTCAGATCCAAATACCAAACTATGATTGCCATCAGCAGGTGTTCCAGCATTTAAAAAGATTGCTTATAGCCTTTTTTGCTGGTTGTTCCTCTCACTTCCTGCATTTCATATAAGAATCATAGAATCATAGGGCTTGATGGGGATCTGGGAGGTTTTCCCTTATTCAAAGCAGAAGACCTTTTACCATCTTGATCAAATGGTTGTCCAGTCTATTTTTGAAAACCTCCAGTGATGGAACACTCACAGCTTTAGGAAGCAAGCTCTTACATTGTTTAATGGATCTCACTGTCAAAAAATTTCTTCTTGCTTCCAGGTTGGATCTCTCTTTAATAAGTTTCCCCCCATTACTTTTTCTCCTGCCTTCTGGCGCCTTAGAAAATAAGTCAATACCCACCTCTTTCTGACAGCTCCCCCTGCAAGTACTGGCAAACAATTATCATGTGTCCCCACCTAATCCTTCCCCTTGATAGGCTAGACCAGTGATGGTTAACCGTTTTGGGCTCCCGTGCAGAAAATTGCGTGCGTGCCAGCACCCAGAAGGCAATGCATGCAGGGTCCCCCATGCCCCCTGCATGCGCAGTCCCCCCGCACCATGCATCTCTGCACATGTGCGTCTCCCACGCACCCCAGCCCCCCACTCAATCAGCTGTCGGGTGGGTGGTGCGCACGCATGCACAGTAGACCTGCTCCGGGTGAGGGCTTGCGTCCCGGTAGTAATGGCTCTGCGTGCCACTTCTAGCACGCATGCCATAGGTTCGCCATCACATGGCTAGACATACCGAGACCCCTCAATCATTTGTTATACAATTTAAGCCTCCAGACCCCTTTAATCATCAAATGATTGCGCTCCTTGGAAATGCTTATTTTTTATATATATAAAACATCTCCATGGAGAAAGCCGATTTGCAAGGGTATTCTCCAGATTGATCCAATGTTTCATTCTGAAATTGTCCCTTTGGTGCCAGAGTTGCACTTCAGCTCTGGATTTCAAGCCAACAGCCCTTCCTATCTAAAAACGCTGTCAGTCAACCCACCATCACCTTGTGAAGTTCTCAGCATGCTTACAGCTGGAGGTTGTTGACACAAGACATCTTTCAAAACCGGGACGGAATGAAGCCTGGCATGATTTATGTTACGTTCCACTGGCAAAAGAAAATACTTTTGGAGATTCATCTGAGGTGTTCCATTAACTACGCTTTCAGGTACATTACTGCTAGTTGCCTCGGCTGTTTGTTGTAGACTTTCTAATGAGTTTATGTAACATTTACAAGACAAGTTATCCAAAGAAATACAACTGTTTCTGCAGGATCTCTTCCTCATCCGACTAAGTCTAAGGACATCAGGGGTGCCTTTCTGTCTATCTTTCTCCGGGCTGCTCAATCCTAGCCTCTTCCCTGCATAGTTTGAGAAGGAAAAAGGCCTGTTACTCATATTGGTAGTGGCGTTTTATTTTCATGAGAAACATCAAAATATACAGAGATAGTTTGATTATACCTCCGTTAGCCATGCTCGACTCCGGTGTATTAGAAATGTCCAATAAAGATCCTATGGAAAGGGAATGTTCGGCCGATGGCCGTTTCCGAGGTGGGAAGGGAGACATGTCCATTTCTCTGGTCAACTGAGCAAGGGTTTCTCTCAAACGTCGTCTCTTCCGGTTGCTGTTGGGAGTACTTAGAGAAAGGACCGAGGTTGAAGTCTTCAATTCAGGACTGTCTGGCTATAGTGAAAGGCAGATGTCCAGATTAGTAACTGTTTTCCATTTACAATCCAAGTTCTGCACAGATGACCACTTTTGCCACTCAAAGTTATATTACAGGTAACCTTCGACTTACCACTACAACTGATCCCAAAATTTCTGTGGAAACATTTATGAAGTGAATGTTTGCCCCATTTTAGGACCTTTCTCCCAAGAGTTGTTAAACGAATCACTGCAGTTGTTAAGTTAGTAACATAGTTTTTTGATGAATCTGGCTCCCCCATTAATTCTTGTCAGAAGGTTGCAAAAATGATTTAACGTGACCTGCATGACACTGCAACAAGTCATAAAGATGAACCGGTTGCCAAGTGTCTGGATTTTGTTCAAGTGATGCTGCAATGTGAGTGTGAAAAATGGGCATAAGTCACTTTTTTCAGTGACATTGTAACTTTGAACGATCAGTAAACGAATCGTTGTGAGTTGAGGATTACCTGTATTATTATTATTTCCTTGCTAGTTTAACTTGGGAAACACATTTGAGAGATTCTGGAGAGACTCTCAGTCATCCAGGGTCATGGTAGTCCTAAAGGTGCTTTTTCAGGAGGCAACAGCCTCATCAGCTTTGACAGGATAATGGGAATCAATCCTTCCATTCCCCACTGTCCTGTCAGAGCTGAAGAAGCTTCTTGGATGAGAAGCGAAACGACTTCAAAAGAAAAACAAGAAAGTCCAGTTGCCTCCTGAAAAAGCACCTTTGGGGGCACATTTGCGAGATATTTCGGCTTGATTTTGCCCATTGTTCCCCAAATTCTCCATGCCCTTGCATAGCAGCATACCTTTTCAAATAAGTACATCGATTCTCCAGCTCTGGCATCCATCTGTATGCTTCCCCAGAACCACTAGAGGAAGAAAAAAAAGTATTTTCAGCCATTTATTCAAGTCAATGCAACTATCTATCATTCCACAGTTAAGAATAGCAACTGAGCATGGCTTACGTTATAAAACCAATAAAATCCAGAAAACGTTATTGAACAAAATGTGTTTTAAGAATCCAGGAATATTATTTTTGGACTGACCTCTTGCTTTACAACAAAAAGGCTCTGAGAGGACTCAAATGGAATATTTTTTACAGTGTTTTCTTCAACTATAAGATGAGTACAGCGTTCATCACCAACAGGCAAATACTGTCCTCCTGTGGAAGAAAAGCAATCAATTGCCTGTCGTTTTCTAACTTCTTTTGCGATCTACTGTTATGAACTGTGCATAATAGGAAATAAAAAGATATCAATGGTAAAGACAATATCACAATGTAGCAATGATACATCAAAGCTAAGGTTTGCTCAATGCAACTATTTAGAAAATAAATTACAAAAGAAATGTAAAGCTTATTGGTTTAAATAAAGGTAGACTTTTGACAGCTTCCAGTAAGGGAATGAAGTTTGCTCTGTTTATAAACAATAGCTGTATGTAACAGTTGTTAACAGTATAATAGCTGTCTAAAACAGATACTGTATATAAATAGAGAGCAAACCCCACTCCCCTCTACCACTGAAGATGTTACCAAGTCTGGTAATGAAATGCCTGCAAACAAACAACCAAATTCAGAAAGCATCAAGAACTCCAAAGACAAGCATGAAATGGAATAGCCATGTTACTACCAGATTTCTTATTATAAAAATCAACTGCTATACTATCTAAACATTCAGAATAAATAAAATTTAATAAAACCTCACTCTTGAAATTAGTATACAAAATGTCTACACTGTTTGTGGTGGCAAGTTCATCTGTCCAGGAGATCCATACTGTAATATGGCTGTGGCTTAGTGTGAGGCACAAATTTAGTCATAATGATTTAACACCAGAGGATGTCTAGTAAGAACGGATTAGACTGAATTGTGAACCCAGCCATAACTTTCTCATATTTACCCTGCATTTCTGTCATTTCTTCCATGTTCTTTTTCTCTTCTTCAGAGAATCCAAGAAAACTTAAAATGCAGTCCTGAAATGGTGGCACTTTAAATTCTTTCCTAAATTCTTCATTGGCAGCGCAAAAATCACTAAAAGAGGGAAAGGACAGAGGGAAAAGAATGAATTTAAGGTACCGTATTTATCGGCGTATAACACGCACAGGCGTATAACACGCATTCCCTTTAATATGCGGCGGGCGCAGCGTCACGATGCTGCGCCGCCGCTAGGCACTATTGGGAACGGGACATCGGCGTATAACACGCATACATCATTTGCCCCCTATTTTCAGGGGGAAAAAGTGCGTGTTATACGCCGATAAATACGGTAACTGTATTAAATTTTATTTTCTATTATTCTGAAATACTTGCTGTCAAGTTAAAAGAATGCTCTGCAAGGCCTTTCTCCAGGAAATATCATACATACATGTCATTTCTTCTCTCCCAAGATCTATAAATCCATTCTGCTTTCATGATTGGAGTGCCAAGACTCACAGCTACCTGCAAACCAAGACAAGGAATGACACCTTTCATTTTAAAATGCCATTAACTCTTACATCAAGGTACAGATCCATATGTCAATTTCATCTTCTTTTCCTTGATAAAGCTTTTAAGATTTTTAACAAAAATAGAGAGGCAGGAGATGAAATGAGTCTAAGTTTCAATGAGTCTTCTTGGTATAGAAAATTAAAAGGGCAAGGGAACATACCTGAACTTCACAAACAAGTATTACAAATGCAACCCAGGTGTTCATATCTATTGATGATCTATTCAAAAGTAACATCAAATTCTAGTGCAATTTCATGACAATCAGAAATTTTGCATTCTCTCTTCAGCCTGCATTTGAATCTCACTGCATATATAAACTATAGGGCGGAAGATTTTAATTATGCTTCTAAACAGCCTAAAGGCTTTATTTAGAAGTAAACCGACATGCTTTAGTTCAGGGATGTCAAATTCATGTCGTCATGGCATCGTCACATGATGTATCAGGACTTTTTCCCCGTTCGCTAAACCGGGGGTGATGCATCCGGGCTGTGGGCCTCGAGTTTAACTCCCCCTACTTTAGTTGTTAAAGCAATCAATTAATCCATATAAGAAACATGGGTTAAAACAATTACAACTTCATTTAAGTTTTGAAAAAGATACATTTTTCATTCATTCATTCATTCATTCATTCATTATCTACAATCCCTTATTGTTGAATATCCCACTACTTCCACTATTATGTAGCCTTAGATAAAGTCAACAAGCATTTTTAAAGGAAACAATTATTTCATAGTCTATAAATGGAAAACCGTTTGCATAAAACACAAATTTGCTCGTTAAAGGCATTTAAATAATAGCACACTGTAAACAGATGCGTTTTACTAAAAAAAAGTTCAAAAAATAACAACATCACATCTCAATTATGAGACAAATCTTGTTTATAACCAGCGCTTAGGTACTGGCTTGCTATATAATTTCTATATTAGGACATTTGCTGCATTTTTCTGAAGGATAGCAAGAGCTTGATAGATTATACGTGATCAAATTATGAAATAACATACAAATTTTATTCAATTTTTCAGACATGCTACAAAATATTAGCATGCCGTGTAGCAATAAAATATATAACTAGGTGCTTTAAATGACTCTTACACTGTTCAACCTAATGGTTATGATCACTTTTAACCACACAAAATGTGTTGTTAAACAATATCAGAAGAGTTCCAGAAGAACCATTCTCTTCCCTTCATCACAATCATAGAATTGATCACAAGGGATGTAGTCAAAACAAGGTTCCCCTCATTAATGAAAGTAGGAAGCTATGTCAAAATAGAGATTGATGGACATGTTTCATGGCTGTACTCACAGATGAGGCTCATCAATAAATGTCATTGCAGTATTTTAAGATTGCATCCATGGATCAAAAGTCTATTTCTGTGTCCCCCTTTTCAGTATTAGACTTTGAACTCACTACCCATTCATTGCTTTAAAAGCCTTGAATTACAGGTGTGTGTGTGTGTGTGTGTTTAAAAAATGCTTTGTTGTTATTCACAATGAACCAAATATTCTGATATTTATAAAAAGGAAAATCTACACTTAAACCTTTAACAGAAATTTGAAGTTCACTTACTCTGAATTTGTCTCCTTGTGTAGAGTTAGCCACTAGATGTGTAACTTTGGAACTGAAGTCCCGCCGAATAATCCCTCCCATATGATGAACCAAAGTCACCAGTTTAACCTAAAAGCAAAATTGGAGCAGAGTTGAGCAGGTTGAAATAAAATTGCTGCTGGGAAACGCAAGGATGTCACTTACACTGCAAAGTAATTTCTCTTGTTGGTTTACTTAGGTAAACTTAAGCTTCACAACAACTGTACAATTCAGTTTGAATTCCTACATCACGTTAACTCATGGCTTCTTTAGCGAGTTTGACTAAATTATAAATTGGCTTGATTTATTCAAACAAAGCTTTACAAACCACAACTGCCAAGCACATAAATATACTAAATCCAAACTCAAAACAAATCACTTGTCATTATGTGTAAAGTTAATGCTGCTATAATCAGTCTAATGGATATTATCAATTGAATCTTAAAAATTGAATGGATTTAAAGCCCATTTTGCCTGGTGTAAGCCCAACGCAATATTAATAGACAACGAATTATTTTGTTCATTTCAAATGAATGTATTGGATCAGATCAATCTAATGAAGGATTCAGAGCTTCTCTGTATCTAAATTCTAAAGCTCTACTCTAATACCAGATAAGGCCAAGCTTGAAGTTGATGTCCAAATATTAACTAATATTGCAATTGTTCACCACAACCATATTAATAAACATTTGCAGAAAGAAAACATTCTTACCAGTTCATCTTTCTTCCTGAATCCTGTGAAGCATAACACAAGATTCACCATATTTGTGCAGTACAGTGGACGATACACAATGGGTAGAGGCTGAAAGAAAATGTAATTAACACCATTTCCAAAATTTTCATTTTTATTATTTGTTAAACTTATTTTAACCAAAAACCACAATCAAGAGCCTCTTTAATATAGTGCAATTGCAGGGCCTTATGAAAATAGGACTCTGAATTCAGAAGGGATAATACTAATAACAGATATAAGACTTGTATGCTCCTTGGCTCTTTGGATGCATTCCAAAGACCCTTGAGAAGTTTTAATCCTAGGCTGTCACAAGACCATGGGATTCTGTCAAACAGGCTAGATCCAAGCCACACAATATTTTAAAGATAATGAGTGCTTTGTATTTTGCAAGGAAAGAAACGGACAGTCAGTGCCAACTTTTTAGCACATGTCTGATGTGGCTTCCATTTGCTTTTCCCGAGAACAAACCAGCTGTTGGGTTGATCAATTTCAATCTATTGCCAGTTCCAAGCTAGACTCAAGGACAGTTCATGGAAAGCATCGGACAAAGTGGAGGGTAGAAATTAGTAGCATATGCCCCACCATTTTAAGGTCCTTTTATTCCAGTAGAAGACAAAGTTGCTATTTCAACCAAAGCCAACAAAAATTGTCCCTGACTGTAACCTCAAAAGATTTCACAGCAGCAGCAGCAACAACAACAAAAACTGGACCTTATTCAGAACAGGGAAAATCTATCCTCCCGACAATATACATCATCTAGCTTCGATTCAATTTCATTTTCACATCTCTCACCCGGGCCATTACTGACGTTACCCAAGCATTCGGGGTACCATGTCATTATCTGAAGATTTCACAGAGAAATACATTGAGTGTCATCAGCCAACTGACAGCACCCAACTCCATACCCCTAATGATCTCTCCCAGCAGGTTCACTCCAATGCTGCAAAATACTGGAAAGAATGAAGCCCTGAGGGACGCAATATAATAGCGTATCCTCAAAATCCTATTGGTGCCTATAGAAAGTGCTAGCAGAGAAAGTGTTTTGTATGGTATGAAGCATCTCAAAGAGAAATGTTTCTCTCACACCCCAAAAAGATGAATCATACTGCCACACTGCAGAGCAAGGACCTGATTGCAGCAAATTACATTCAATTCACACAGCCCCAGCAGCAAACTTACTAAATATTTCTCCAAGCTCATGTTATTAGACATTTGGAGACCATTATCATTTTTCATAAATGATTTTCGAACAAATCCATATTGATGCCTATTCGGTACTTTGATGACTTTCTAGAGTTCATTATGTTTCCATATTGGAAGCTTTACTGTAGTTTTGCTATTCCTGGTTTTGCGTAAATTATTTTAAATAAGCTTCTGATAAGGAGAGCAGCACATTCAAGTAAAATAAAATGTTTTTAATTCAATGACAGGAGCCACCGTCAACTCCATTCAGGAGATATATCAAATACATTTTAAAAGGCAGCAATTTTCCATGTCGCTTTTATTGTTTTCTTACCTCGCCTTGTTTAGCACAATGAAATACCACTGGGGGCCCAAGGATCCTGCAGTCTGCCTTGTTCAAGTTACGAAAAATGGGTTCTTCAAAGTCTGATATTACAAAGACAGCCTCAACCTCCAGTGATTCAGAGTCATCACACGTTTTCATAGATTCCATCTTTATGTAGGGCACTTTAATCTCCTGCATTGTTTCAAGATAGATAGATATTTATAACAAACATATATGTAGCAATACCAATAGCATTTAGAGTTATATACAGTTTCATATTGCTTTATAGTCCTCTTCTCTAAGCAGTTTAGAGTCAGCATATTGGACTCCAATGAGGACCCCAACAATCTGGGTCAGCAATGAGGACCGTAACAACCTGGGTCCTCATTTTACCAACCTCAGAAGGATGGAATGATGAGTCAGCCTTGAGCTGGTCAGGATCGAACTCCTGACAGTAGGAACGCAGAAGAAGCCTGCAATACTGCATTCTAACCACTGTGTCACCACAGCTCTTGTAAGTTTTCTATGTTGTTTCCTAAATGAAAACTAACTAGGCTTCTGAGTGCTGAGCCCTGGGACAAACACAATTATATGACTGATTCTTTTTTCCAAATAGAAACAAGACCTATCTAATTTTAATTCTGCATCTTCAGTATAAGACTCATTAATTTTTACAATCAGCTCCGTAAAATCTGAAACCAAAGCAGGCATGTGAGCAATTTCAAAGCATATTGGTACTTCTGTTCACCTGTTTCCACAGGGTATCATTCACTTCTACCAGGCCTTTCATTTATCCTTCTACTAAGTTTTGATAGTAGTGGATTCCCTATCTCTACTCCAATCCTAAATAGTGCAACATGTGGCATGCAAGCAGAGACATCCTTTTTCCCTACATATCACAAGGATAATAGTTTTTATTATTTTTATTCTGGTTCACCAGAAATAGTTTTCATTATTTTATAAATGGAACTTCCATTGTCTTAAATAGCAGGGGTGTCAAACTCGATTTCATTGAGCGGCGCATCAGAGCTGTTCGATCTTGGGTGGCCGGGGTGTGTGTGGCCAGGATGGTGGGGCAGCTCAACGTCACTCGTGTCAGGGTGCCTGTGGTAGCCCATGTGCTCTGCCAGCAAAAACGGGCTCCCGAGCATCGTTTCCAGCTGGGATGGCCTCCTGCAACCCTCTGCCAGTAAAAATGGAGCTTGGGAGAGCAGCATGCAACCCTACAAAGCTCTGTTTTCACTGGTAGAGACACCTGGGCTGGTCCTTCACTGTTTCCAGGGCAGCCCCACGGAGCAGATCTAAGCCCCCTGGGGGCCACATCCAGCCCCCGGGCCTTGAGTTTGACACCCCTACTCTATAAGAAAGGAGAAGTTCAGTATGGGAACAACACAATAAATCAGAGTTCTGGATGCAGCAAGATTTTACTATCAACAAATAAATTCACAAACCTCTAAGGCTGTTATGAGTTTCTCACATCTTGCAGCTTCCTGAACTAAAATAACCTTGATTTCAATCGGGGGTATTTCCTCTGTTGGGAAAGGAAAGAAATAATCAGCTTAAAGAAAACTTCAAGGGTTGAAAGAATTTATCATCCTTCTCAAAAAGAAAGTAAAGTGAACAAACTGAAAAAACAGATGATTCATCTTCTACATACATTCCAGAAACAAAATCCCTCTATCCAAAGTTTTCTGAAAAGCAAATTTGTTCCCAGATCAGAAATGATATTCTTGCAGATTACGTTTTAACCAGTTGGGTACAGATTGCAATAGGCCTAGTTGTTAAAGTGAGCAATCAGAAGAGCCATCACTACTCCACATAGACAGTAGGTTGTATGAGCCATTGGCCACTTTTATATAAAACAGTATTATGCAATACAAGAATGCTTTACACTGTCAACGAATTAAAGAAACTACCCACGAAAAACAATATGAAATCAACGGTGCTTTTTTCAGAAGCAACTGGACTTTGTTTTTCCTTGAAAATATTTCACTTCTCAGCCAAGAAGTTTCTTCGGCTCTTGGAACTTCTTGGAATTCTTCTTTAACTTCTTGGGATATTTTGAAACTCTTCAACTCTTCTTGGAAATCATCTAAGAAGTTTCTTCAGCTCTTTGAGCAATTCCACAAAAAATACATTACAGTATAATCCATCTAGAAAATGATTAAGGAATTAGTGGCAGGGATCTGAATCTCCCAATTCAGAAACAAGTGCAACTGGGACACAAGACCAATCCATGATGTAAGCCTGCCTTATATTGAAATTCAGTTCCAGAAACCTACAGGATACGTACTCCTGCCAATACTTTGTAGGCTAGGCTCACACACTGAAGTAAACATGCTACTTGGTTGCTACCATGAGATGACCTACGGTACAGAGGTTTTCATCCTAAGTCTTTTGTTAATGAAAAGGGATTACCAAAACTCTCCTAGCTGATCCACACTCACTCAAAATAATTTGCATAAGGAGCAAACAAACTACAGGTAATCCTTGACTTACAACAGTTCATTTAGTGACTGTTCAAAGTTACAACGGCACTGGAAAATGTGACATATGACCATTTTTCACAGTTACAATCTTTGCAGCATCCCCATGATTATGGGATGCTTGGCAACTGGTTCATATTTGTGACCGTTGTTGTGTCCCAAGATCATGTGATGATCTTCTGATAAGCAAAGTCAACGGGGAAGCCAGATTCACTTAACAATCAGATTACTAACTTATCAACTGGAGTGATTCACTTAACAATGGTAACAAGAAAGGTCGTAAAATGGGACAAACTCACTTAACAACATAAATTTGGGCTCAATTGGAGTCATACATTGAGTACTATCTGTAGCATTGTATCAGAAATGTGCATTGTTATTTCTGGTGAGCTGTAGAAACCTTTGCAAAGAGCTATTACTCATCCACAGACCAGGATCAACTCGGTTAAATGCATCACATCAAAAAAACAAAAAAAGCTAAGAAGAAAAGCAGCAAATTCTTCAAAACAGCAATAGTTGGTGCAGAGTCCTCTCCAAGATCTGGACCCAAAGTAGGTCTTTGCAGAAGATGATGTTGGTCTTTTTTTCTCCAGTGGTTGTCCTCCATTGCTGGATATCGTTCTCAGTTGCACACACAAAAAAAACCTTTCCAATGAGCCAGTTTTAAGGAAGCATTCCAAGGAGGGTTCCTGGGATTGATAGGCTGTTGGGAGAACCACTTCTCTTGTTGGCCTGAACTGCTAGCTTCAGATAGCATCAGAACCAGAAAGCTCTGTGTTCCTTGTTTGAGCTATTCTTGGTGTAAAGCAAGTGGCATCTTATCTACCCAGTGGTTAAGTGTGAGGCCTCCAATCCTCTCCTGAACGAGTGAGGTTAGGGGTCCTTGTGCTCTTGGAACTTGGTTGTTTTCTTGCAGAAGTTTCATTACCCAAACTAGGTAACATCATCAGTACTGGTGAGATTGTTCCAAGAAGGATTGAGGCTTGTAAAATGTACTTAATATTTTGCATTGGATTTCTTAGAATCTTTCTAAATCTCATCACTTTTACCAGTTGAATAGCAAGCCCCAACAGAAAAAGCCTGCTTGTCCATGAAATATTTTGTGGAACATCCATTCACAGATCACCCAGCCATCCTCCCCCACTGTTGCCTCTTAACTGAAAAAAACAATTCGGTTAGCGCATTTTTTTTTTAGTAATGCATCTATGATTTAATTTCTAAGGCTGCAATACGTAATGTAGCAATGAGTCATATAATGCTGTTGCCTTTCTATTGCTATTTATGTTTATTGACATTCGTAGCACCTTAAGGTTCCATTCTGATGCCAAAAAAAGTAGAAGCATTTCAATTTGATAAATAAATGCAAACAGATAGGCTTGCAGGCAGACCGACCGCATTATGCTTTTTATTGTCTTCATGCCTAGGGACATTGGTTACTATTATAAATTACAAACAAGCGTGCATTTGAATGTTTACATCCCAAACACTAAACACATGCAGAAAGAACTACTAGTCTAAAAGTACAATGTGGGGGGTGGGAAAATATATTAAAATTAAATTTTACATTACCTCTACTGTCAGAAGCAACTCGGATGAATACATTTTCCTTGGAATTTTCTATAATTTTTGAGTCAAGAACAGAAGAATCTGCCAAGAGGCTTTTTGTGGTATCAGACATGAATGTAGTGTTTTCAGTCATGGTCACAATGGCATCTCTCTTCTACAGCTGCAAGAGAAAAATCCAATTCAAAAATATGACACTAAGCGGAGTAACTATTTAAGACTGTTAGCGACACTGTAATTTTGAGGATTCTCACTTTTCATTACTAAGGTTTTCTCTTCATATCCAATATCAAAGAATCCTTTCCCTGCCCCCTATTTTATATTTCTACTGCTCCTGTCTGCTGTTTCCACTCAAGTCTCCATTATAACATGGAGGCTCCAATAGGATTCGTAAGATATGGAAGAATCTCTTTGAACAATTACCTATTAATAACGAGAAAGATAGAATTAAAGGTAATATTTTATTTAAATGTGACTGGCAAGACATGTATCTTCGTAACAATTACCGAGATTGTAGTGCTGCCAAAAAGATGTTCATGACCCAGAATTAGCTGAAGGAAATTATATGGCCCCCTGGAATTCATCATCCATAAAACTGACAGAATAGTTCAGAGATAAAGAAAGGACACGCCACTGATATACAAAGGCAATCATTTGCCAATTCCATGAAAGAGTATAATTAAACTTAATACAGACTAAAAAAGGGCTCTCAAACATTCTGAAGCATACATACAACATATGCCCTTTAATAGTAGTCCACTGGTAAGGGGAAACAATTTATTAAGACTGAACTTGACCTACTGCTTTTATTTTGAAGCTACAGCTGCAAATCATTTCTTTAAAAAAATAGATTTAGTCTTTTATCTCAGAAAGAAGTATTTTCATAATGTAAAAGGGACAGTTTTTATTGTGATTTTTAAATAGAACTGTGAATGCCATATTTTGCTAAACACAAGCTCAACTTTATAGCTATAACAGGTCTGGCCAATGTAAAAAAAAGTGCGTAACTGATCTAATGGAGGATAACTTCCCATTAAAATATTTATTTCTCTATTATAATAAAAATAGACTATAAAATGGTTTTTCAAATTACCCTAAGCCTTAACAAATGTTTGATCAATGAAATAAAACCCTAAGAATTGTATCTATTGGAGCCAGTGGTCTCATTTTCTTAACTTTTTATCCTGTCTTTTATTTTGGGTCAACTCAATGCAGCAAATCAACAGAGCTCAGAAGGCCCATGACCTTCCACCAGATGTACTATTTCCACTGAATCTTTCAGCATGTGGGCTTGCAGATCCTTTGCATTTTTGGCTATTGGAGTGGCATACATGGAAAGAAAGATGACCAAAGTTAAAGCTGGCTTTTGAATAGGCTGAGGAACCAGAGACATTTATTGCTGACGGAGACTGCATAATTTCCAAAGCCAAAGAATACTAAAAAGAATCCATATGTGCTTCATTGATTATAGAAAGCTTTTGATTGTGTTGATCGCGTCAAACTGCATAAAGTGTTCAGAAAAATGGGAATCCCATACATATCATTATCCTCATGAGACTTCTGTACAAGCGAAGAAGCCACAGTACATCAAAACATGAAGAAACAGACTGGGTCCAAGTTGGTCAATGGGTGGGATAAGGCTGTAATACACCACCCTTATTTCTTCATCCTATTTGTGAAAGATATATTAACAGAACTGGATAGGAAGATGGTTTTAAAATTGGAAGAAGAAACTTCAACAACCTGTATTATAATGATGATGATGATGCTACCCTGATAGACAAAAATACAAAGGATCTACAAGCGCACATGAGGAAAGATTCAATGGAAATAGCATGCTATGAGTTCTATCATTTAGGAAGGTACATTTGGTGGAATTCTGAGCTGTGGCACTAGCGTGGAACAACCTGCCTCTGAGTTGAGACTCGCCCCATCGCTCTTGACTTTTCAAAGGTTCCTCAAGATCTGGTTCTGTCATCAGGCTTAAGGAACTCAGGTGTGTGTTGGCCCTGTTATTATTCATACTCCTTCGCTCATTACTTCTTTAGCTGTATTTTAATAGTTTGTAATGCTTTTTAATGATCATTGTTATTTATTTTTAGCTTTGTTGTCACTGACAGGCTCACTTGATTTGCAAGATGGGCAGCTACATAAATTTGAAAAATAAAATATACATAAAAATCAGATACTGGAAAAAAATGGGACGAAAATATAAAGGCCAAAGTAATGGGAACAGCCTTAGAGCAGACAATGAAGATATTAAAGTGGTTAGTTTCTGCATTTTAGGATCAATCATCAACAATAACAAGCAATCAGGAAATATGCCACAGATTAGCAGTTGGTAGAACAGCCATGAAAGCCTTGGGAGATATTCAAATCTTTGGTGTATCTATACCTACAAACACCAGAATTGTGCAAACCATTTTATTCCCTATGACACTCTCTGCAGGTGAAGGTTGAATCTAAAAGAAACAGATAGGAAGAGGACAACCAGCAACAACAAGGTGGACTCAGTGTGTTGTGAGTGTACCTTTGGGAGATTTGAAACAACAGGCTAGGGATAAATTGACATGGAGAAAATCTATCTATGCGATTACTAAGAGTCAAAAACTACAGCCCTGGACTGAAAATGGACCAAAGTCACCCAAGTGGCTGAATTGCCTATGGAAGGCCTAGAACCGTTCTTGTTTTTGTAAACAGGAAAGGGATGCATTATTTATGCCACCTTGAGTTGTACAAAATAAAAATGCATGATAAATAAAATTGCAAAGCCTTTGTAGAGAAAGAAGGAAGTCCCCTTTTTTCTTTGACTTCATCCAGTTTTGTCACCTCTGCCATCTTTTTTTTCTTCCCTTGTTATTAAATGCTTTTAACAGCACATGAACTGCCCAGGGTGAATGCAAGTTAGGCAGCATATATTTAATAAATTAGTAATAGTAAGTACTATAAATTACTATCATATTTTATATTTTATTAATTATACTATTATAATAAAATTATACATCTTATTCAGTTTTTAATGTTTTATTATATTGAATAAATTGTACACTGGCTAAAGTCCCTCTGGGAGAGAGATGGGCACTTGAGAAGTGTGATATATATTAATAATATATCTGTAAATAATATATCTATATTTGTATTATATATATATTTGTAATATATTGTAATATTATATGTTTATAATATATCCCTCTAGGAGGGAGAAGGCACTTGAGAAGTTTGATATATATTATATAAATAAGTTATTTAGTAACTAACAAGTTATTTAGTAACTAATGAGATAACAAGATGTAGGGTTTTGTAAATAAAGTAGAGGAGAGATTAAAGCTCACCTCCTTTCGCACACTGGCACCCCCCAACCTACAACTTTCCAAACGGGGTAGATTTTCAACCCCCGTCCAAGCAGGTTGGCTGGCGGCTTTAATAGCCTAAGCAGGTGCACCCAAGCAATGAATAAAGAGGAGCCTCTCAGAGAAGCCACCTTCTGGCTTCCAGGCGAACCCGGTCTGGCCCTTTTCAGAAGATCCCACGACTTGCTGGTTGTGGAATATGGGAGCTGTAATCTCCCCCCCCCCCTCCCCTCCCCTTCGCTTTTGGGAGAGGCTCCCCTTGCTGATCGGACATGGACTTACGAGAAGGGCCTGTAATTCTCCCCGCTACCCCGGCCATGTGTCTTCCCTCTCGGTTTCACACTCCCCCCCGCCGCCTCACCGTTCAGGGCACCACCGCAGTCCGAGCACCAGCCACCATCCCAGAGCAACCCGCGACACCCAGCACCTCCCAATTCAAAAAACGAGCGTCCAGTCTTGGACGGCTCCCGATTGGCTGTCACGGGGAGGGGCGGGGAAGCGCGCGCGGGGCGCGGCCCCGAAATGCCGAGCACGTATTGGCGGACGATTCCGGGAGGGCGTTCCAGGTCTTTTCTTTACCTTTGCTTGAAAAATTATTTAGAGAACGGGCATGTTTGAATGGGCGGTAGCCGTGGCTTGCTATTGGTCGGGATGGTGTCTCTCTCTCTCTCTCTCTCTCTCTCTCTCTCTCTCTTCCACCCTATGACGAAGGTTGCGGGGGGGCAATCTTTTCAGCTGACACGCCGCTGTTTCCCGCCTCTTGCGGGGATGAGCTCACCTGAGATTGGTTGGAAGATATGAGGAAGGGCTTTACCTTCCGACGGTTGTTAAAAGCGGTTGAGGACGGAAAGACCCGGATTTGCCGTTCAAGTACTACGGTTTCAGAAGCCAGGGTTGGTCCCGCCTTTAATTTTTTTTTTTTTAAGTTCCAGCTTTGCACGCGGCTCTCCACGCAAGGGTTTCTGGGAATTGTAGTATGGGAGCTTCGGATACAATCGAAACGAAGATTCTCAGATTTCATTGAGGAAGAAATAAGAGTGCAAGCATATTTTGCTTTTGGGGAATAACTATATATATATATATAGTTATTCCCCAA